GAAATATAGAAATGAGATATAGTTTTAAGATAAACATAAAAGGGGGACTGGCACTGTGGCGCATCAGGTTAAAGCCCCTGCCCAGTGCTGGAATCCCATGTGGGGGCTGGTTCAAGTCCTGGCTGCTCCACTTCCAATCCAGCTCTCTGCTATGGCCTGGGGAAGCAGTAGAAGATAGCCCAAGTTCTTTGGACCCTGCACCATTGTGGGAGACCTGGAAGAAGCTCTGGGCTCCTGGCTTCAGATCAGCTCAGCTCTGGCCGTTGAGATCATCTGGGAGTGCACCAGCAGATGGAAGACTATAGCGCTGGCTCTACCTCTCACTAACTCTTTCAAATAAATAAAAATAAATCTTAAAAAAAAAGTGAACATAAGAATGCCCAAGTTAATATTTTAAAGCACCATTCAGTTAAAGCGTTTACATTCACTATAAAAAATGTTGCAAGAGATCTAACACTAATTGCTGTTATGCAGATTGCACTTAAAAATTGTTGGGTAGTGAAGACCTTAGTAAATACATTTATACATAAGATGAATGTTAGAATGGGGATCTGCCTCCTATGATAAGGAGTATGCTTCTGAAATAATGGACAATACATGGGCTTAATGTTACTAAAGAGCCAAAAGAGCCAAGTCTATCACAAGGGACCAGTTTTTTGGAAATGTAGACCTGCTGTGTGACTGGATTGGCTAAAGGGAGAAAGCAGATTATATACCAGTTACTTAAATCCACTGGAAAGACCTCTTTAAAAATCATGCACCATATGTCAATGGTTTTGTTTTACTTAGGTTTAGTCCTAATTTATTTTAATGAACAATTCTTTTAAAATGTATTTATTTGAAGGCAGAGTTACAGAGAGGGAGGGGCAGAGAAGTCTAACATCTGCAGGTTCACTCCCCAGATGGCCGCAACCTCTGGAGCCACACTAATCCAGAGCCAGGCGCTTCTTCCAGGTCTCCCATGTGGATGCAGAGGCCCAAGGACTTGGGCCATCTTCCACTTCCCTAGGCCATAGCAGAGAGCTGGATTGGAAATGGAGCAGCTGGGACTCAAAACCAGTGCCCATATGGAATGCTGGCACTCGAGCCAGCAGCTTTACCTGCTATGCCACAGCACCAGCCCCTTAATAAACAATTTAAGACTAAAAATTTGTTGACGGGAAAACCAACATCTGAAACTTTGGTGTATAAAAAGTTTTGCCATTGCCACTGAGAGGTGCGTATCTGTTTTTGCAGAGTAGTTTATATAGTCTTATTAGACACTTAACAGGGTAATTTTATTTTTTTATCTAACTTGGATAATGGTGCTTTCCCTGAATAATTCATACTGACGTAACTTTGTAACCAATTTTTGGTTGAGTATTAGAATAAAAGAAATAGAGCTTAATATTTAAAGTTACTTTAAATAGTTGGCTTTCTGTAAGTATTCTCTTTCCCTCCCTGCATATACTTTGGCTTTGAATCTAGAAATAAGACAAAGTGAGGAAAGAAACAATTTGCTAACAGTTGGTTAACAGTTGTTGAGTGGTTACATTTTTTGAGTTGATATTTCTGTCCCAAAAGTAAACCTGAAATTTCAGTTGCTGACTTTATCTTACTGATATCTGATGATTCATTGACAAGGTGAGGCTCATTGATCTGAAAAGCTCCCAAATCCAAAGTTTTTTGAGCACTGACAAATGACATGAGTAGAACATTGTAAGTCATGAGACTTTCATGCGCAAAATTAATCAAATTGTATAAAATCACCATTAGGCTATGTGTGTAAGGTATATGTGAAACCCAAGATAATTGGCATGCTCAGACTTGGGACCCATCCATCCCTAAGATAGCTCATATATGCAAACATTCTTTTTATTTATTTATTTGAAAGAGTTACACAGAGAGGAGGAGAGGCAGAGAGAGCAGTCTTCCATCCACTGGTTTACTGGAGTTGCGCCGATCGGAAGCTAGGAGCCAGGAGCTTCTTGGTCTCCCACGAGGGTGCAGGGGCCCAAGGCTTTGGGCCACCTTCTGCTTTCCCAGGCCACAGCAGAGTGGATTGGAAGTGGAGCAGCAGGTGGCAGCTTTACCTCTACGCCACCATGCTGGCCCCATATATGCAAACATTCTAATCCCAAACACTTTTGGTCTTTCTTGGGCATTTAAGATAAAGGGTACTTAATATACATGTTTTTTCCTTTTCCAGTATGAAACAAGCAGGGTGTTGTGGTTTGTTTGTTTTTAATATTTATTTATTTGAAAGGCAGAGGTAGAGAGAGATAGGTATCTTCCATCTGCTGGTTCACTCCCCAAATGGCCCCAATGGTGGGGCCTGGAGCTTCTTCCATATCTGGGTACAGGGGCTCAAGCACTTGGGCCATTTTCAGCTGCTTTCCCAGGGTATAGCAGAGAGCTGGATTGGAAGTAGAGCAGCAGGGACTTGTACCTGTACCCCTATGGGATGCCAACACTACAGGCAGTGGCTTTACCCACTACACCACAGCACTGGCCCCACAAACAAGTCTTTGTGAAGCAGTGTGAAGGGACTTAATGACTATAGTTTCTTCTGACAAGCAGTGTCCATTATACCTATGGATCCATAAATATGCTGTGCAGCTAAAATGTTAGATTCCTGTCAAAAATCAGATTGCAGAGAATTTGGGATAGTTGAGTACTGAGTTCTTTTGAATATTTGAGAATGGAAGCATTTTGAAACTAAAAACTTAAGCTTAATTATTGCTGCATGTTGCAGTTACTGACACCGAGGGATAAAAAAGATTCATTTATTTGAAAGGATTAAGAGAAAGAGGAAGAGATAGCTCTTTCTACTGGTTCACTTCCTCAATGGCCACAGTGGCCAGCACTGGGCCAGCCTGAAGCCAGGAATTTTATACAGGTCTACTATATGGGTGGCAGGGGCCGACACACCTGGGACATCTTCCACTGCTTTTCTTATGTCATTCATAGGGAGCTGGATTGGAAGTGGAGCAAGCAGGACACTAACTGGCACACGTTAGGGATGTTGGTGTTTTGTGTATTGGTTTTACTTGCTACACCACAATGCCAGCCCCAAGAAGATATTTTAAAAACCTTATGTGTTGGGGCAGCACTGTGACATAGCAGGTAAAGCCATTGCCTGCAGTGCCAGCATCTCATGGTTGCCAGTTCAAGACATGGCTGTTCCACTTCTGATCTAGCTCTCTTGCTATGGTCTGGGAAAGCAGTAGAAAAAGGCCCAAGTCCTTGGGCCCCTGCATCTGTGTGGGAGACCCAGACGAAGCTCCTGGCTTTGGAGAAAGCAGTATTAGATGACCCAAGCGCTTGGGTTCCTGCACCCATGTGGGAGACCCAGAAGATCCTGGCTCCTGGCTTCAGATTGGCTCAGCTCTGGCCACAAATGGCCGTTGTGGCCATTTGTGGAGTGAACCAGTGGCTGGAAGACCTTTCTCTGTCTCTCATCTCACTGTCTAACTCTTCCTCTCAAATAAATAAAACCTTTAAAAAAAAAAAAAACACCTTATGTGTCATAGTGACAGTAGAATTAAGGGTAAAAATATTCAGATAGGGAAATATGGAAATACTAAATTGTTTCCCATTTCATTCTGTGCTATTCTAGGAATAGCCTTGGTCTATTTTTAGATTGTTACATAAGTACAACATACATTTGCTTTAGTTTTATTTTGAAATACTTAGTTAAGGAGTCGGCTATGGCATTGCAGATATTTTGTTTTAATATAAAATTATGTTACAGAATTCACTTGGAAAGAGAAGATGGGAAAATACAATTTTTTCTTCTGCTGTTTAACTATGGTGTACGTCATTTTTTCCCAATATTTTTTAGTATACCTGTAGGCTAGATATAATTTTTATATATATATATTTTTTCAAAAATATTCTCTGAAAACTGGATGATATCTCAACTGCTGATTTACTCCTTAAATATGTGCAGTAGCTGGGGTTAGGCCAGGCCAAAGCCAGGAGCTGGGAACTCATCTGGTCTCCCACATAGGCTGCAAGGACCCAAGTATTTGAGCCATCACCTGCTACCTCCCAGGATACATATAGAGTAGGAAACTGAAATCAAGAGTGGAGCTGGAATTCAAACCAAGGCACTCAGATAGGAGATGCAGGTATCCCAAGCTGGGTGTGTTCAGCCACATTCTGTGCCCCTCCAGCCAACCCTTGAATTTAGAGCTTGTCTGCTCTAAAACTGTCTCACTTGAGGCAAGTGCTGTGGTATGAATAGATACCGTTTTAAGTGTTAAGGTTACACAGATTATTTTCCATCAATCACCTTCAGGATTTGTACAACTCCCATTAATTTGGGTTATCCAATTTTGTAACCAGTACATGACTTCAGTTTCCCAAAATGAAACCATGTGGCTCATAACCATGAGTGTCTAATTAGTTGTACTTGGAATTGAGTGTTAGCTACTGCTTTTTTTTTTTTAATTTATTTATTTGAAAGGCTGTGTGTGTGTGTTGCTGGCTCACTAGCACAACACAAAGATCTTCCATCCACTGGTTCACTCACCAAAGGGCTTCAATGGCCAGGCTGAAGCCTACTTCATATGTTGGGTGGCAGGGGCCCAAGTACTTGGGCCATCATCCACTGCTTTCTCAGGTGCATTCATGGGGAGCAGGATCAGAAGTGGGATGCCAGGATATGGGAAGCAGCAGCTTAACCCACTGCATCATACCACCCCCAATTATCAAGTGTGTCTGATGACTGTTCATGATACTCTTTTGAAGTCCCAACATCCCATCGATACTTTTCATATACATATTACTCCATATATGCTGCCTGTCACTCATTTCAAAGATCAGAAATTGTATAATATATACATTATCTTACAATTTGCTTTTTACTTTTAATGTTTTAAATAGATGTTTAATTTCCTGTCTAGTGTAGTAGCTAGTTATTTCATCTGAGAATAATTTTACAAAAATGCACTTCTAATGGAATTAAAGCTAGAAATCTCAAGTGGTTTAATGTTGTTATTTTTAATATTTTAAAGATCTAACTGCAGCCATGAGCAGCAATGAGTGCTTCAAATGTGGACGATCTGGCCACTGGGCCCGGGAATGCCCTACTGGTGGAGGCCGTGGTCGTGGAATGAGAAGCCGCGGCAGAGGTGGTTTTACCTCGGATAGAGGTATTTTTGTCGAATAAGAAATTTTGAAATATATCAGTATTTATTAGTATCAAGACTGGTCTAATTAGCCAAATTCTCTTTGTTTTTGTTTAAAATAGGTTTCCAGTTTGTTTCCTCATCTCTTCCAGACATCTGTTACCGCTGTGGTGAGTCTGGCCATCTTGCCAAGGATTGTGATCTTCAGGAGGATGGTAAGTATTTAACACTTCCTTTCATATCCCTCTAGAATTTGGAGAGATGAGCTTTTATACTGCACATAGCATTGGAAGGGATTTTCCACCTTTGAAGTTTTGTGTTGTGGTTTAAAGTATAACTTGATAAAGGTTTTATAGTCTTGGTCTGCTTCTTTTCCTTATTGTTGAAGCCTGCTATAACTGCGGTAGAGGTGGCCACATTGCCAAGGACTGCAAGGAGCCCAAGAGAGAGCGAGAGCAATGCTGCTACAACTGTGGCAAACCAGGCCATCTGGCTCGTGACTGTGACCATGCCGATGAGCAGAAGTGCTATTCTTGTGGAGAATTTGGACACATTCAAAAAGACTGCACCAAGGTGAAGTGCTATAGGTAAGTTGGAATCTCGGTAAAGGAAAACTGCAAATATTTTTCTAGGGATGGATTAGCTATGAGTAAGTAGATGGATTTAATCAGTACTTTTAGTGAAAGCTGTAGCCAGATGAAACCAGCGTTTGGTATACATCCATCCTATCTGTATATCCGTCCATAATTTGCCATGGTAGCTTGTTTATGGCACCTACCTGGACATTTTATAATAATGGAATTTCTTTTTTTTTCTTTTTTTTTTTTTTTATTTGACAGGCAGAGTGGAGAGTGAGAGAGAGAGAGACAGAGAGAAAGGTCTTCCTTTACCGTTGGTTCAGCCTCCAATGGCCACTGCGGTCGGCGCGCTGTGGCCGGTGCACCGCACTGATCCAAAGCCAGGAGCCAGGTGCTTTTCCTGGTCTCCCATGCGGGTGCAGGGCCCAAGCACTTGGGCCATCCTCCACTGCACTCCCGGGCCACAGCAGAGAGCTGGACAACCGGGACTAGAACCTGGCACCCCAACGGGGACTAGAACACGGTGTGCCGGTGCCGCAAGGCGGAGGATTAGCCTATTGAGCCGTGGCGCCGGCCGGGGAATTTCTTAATAATTAAACTATGAGTGTTACCATTGTTTGAATCCTCTAGGGAATTGGTTGAAGCTATATAATTCATATACATTGATGTTTTGTCATGTAACAAGAAATATCTGAGTTGACATACAGTACGGTGTACATATATATAACGTTCACTTTGGTAGCTTTTGGTGTATACATACCCATGAAAATGTAAGAGTTTGTGTAGTTCATCTTAGCTCGTGCTTTGGTGCTGATTTCTTATGCAAGAATTTTTTTTTTTTTAAGATTATTTATGTATTCTAAAGGCAGAGATAGAAAAGTCTTCCCTCTGTTGGCTCACTCCCCAAATGCTCAATAACTGGAGTTGGTCCAATCCAAAGCCATGGGCCCAAGGACGGACTTGGACTGTCTTCTGCTTTCCCAGGCCTTAGCAGAGAGCTGGGTCAGAAGTGGAGCACCTGGGGCTATAGCCAGCATGCGGGTGGGATGCTGGCATTGCAGGCCTCAGCTTTACCCACTATGCCACAGCGTCAGCCCCAAGAAATTTTAATTCTATAACTTAAACTGTCTGATTAGCTCTATTTAAATCTTCCTTTGCCTTAGTTTATTGACAGTCTATTACTGTGTTTACAAATGTATTGCTTAGCTTGATGGCTTTTTGTTCTGCATTGGATTTTGGTTTAGTGGATCATTTTGCTTTCAGAATGTCATTGTGAAGACTTTCTAATTTCCTTTTTAGGTGTGGTGAAACTGGTCATGTAGCCATCAACTGCAGCAAGACAAGTGAAGTCAACTGTTACCGCTGTGGCGAGTCAGGGCACCTTGCACGGGAATGCACGATCGAGGCTACAGCCTAATTATTTTCCTTTGTCGCCCCTCCTTTTTCTGATTGATGGTTGTATTATTTTCTCTGAATCCTCTTCACTGGCCAAAGGTTGGCAGATAGAGGCTACTCCCAGGCCAGTGAGCTTTACTTGCCGTGTAAAAGGAGGAAAGGGGTGGAAAAAAAACGACTTTCTGCATTTAACTACAAAAAAAGTTTATGTTTAGTTTGGTAGAGGTGTTATATATAATGCTTTGTTAAAGAACCCCCTTTCCGCGCCACTGGTGAATAGGGATTGATGAATGGGAAAAGTCGAGTCAGACCAGTAAGCCCGTTCTGGGCTTCTTGAATATATTCCCATGTAGGAGGTAAAACCAATTCTGGAAGTGTCTGTGAACTTCCATAAATAACTTTAATTTTAGCATAATGATGGCCTTGGATTGTCTGACCTCAGTAGCTATTAAATAACATCAAGTAACATCTGTATCAGGCCCTCATAGAACATACAGTTGGGTGGGAGTAAACAAAATAAAGACAGACATGCGTGTTAGTGGCTATGCGAGAGACATCGAGATAAAAGCCTAAACAGGAACAACTTCATCACAGCGTTGATGCTGAACGTACAGATGATGATGGCAAAGGTTTAGAACACATTTTTTCAAAGACTAAATCTAAAACCCAGAGTAAACATCGATGCTCAGAGTTAGCATAATTTGGAGCTATTCAGGAATTGCAGAGAAATGCATTTTCACAGAAATCAAGATGTTATTTTTGTATACTATATCACTTAGACAACTGTGTTTCATTTGCTGTAATCAGTTTTTAAAAGTCAGATGGAAAAAGCAACTGAAGTCTTAGAAAATAGAAATGTAATTTTAAACTATTCCAATAAAGCTGGAGGAGGAAGGGGAGTTTGACTAAAGTTCTTTTTGTTTGTTTCAGATTTTCATTAATGTACATAGTGCAAAATGCCATATTAAAGAGGGGATTGTGGAGGACTGAAAGCTGACAGTTTGGACTTTTTCTTTTTGTACTAACACAGTCATGACTTCAGTAAAACATAATTGCTATATGAGGACACAAGGTTTGGGAACTTTGAGATGTCTTGCAGAGCTATAGAAAACTTCATTGTAACGATACCTTTTAGTTTTGTGTTTCTTTTGAACATTTCTTTTAAAGATTGACTTATTTGAAAAGGCAGAGAAATCTTGCATCTTAACTCCCCATATGCCTGTCACAGCTAGGCAGAAGGCAGCAGTCTGCGACCCAGTCTGGTTTTCCACGTGGGTGGCAAGGACCGAAGTACTTAAGCCATCACCTGCCTCTCTCCCGACTGTGTGCATCAGGAAGCTGGGTGAGAAGCTAGGGCTCAGCAAGTTGATGTCCCCAGAAGCATCTCGAACACCATGCCAAACACTTGCCCTCCTGCCTTTTATGTTATTGAAAGGTTTTTTATTGTGTGAGAGACAGCTCTCTGACCACAACAGAACCCAACTATTTATCACTACTGCCTCCCAGCATCTATACCAGCCTAATCCTAGGAACTCCCAGTGTGGGATGCCAGCATATTTTGCAAGAAATAGGCCTGGTGTAGTTAGTTCAGGACCACTTTAAATGCATGGCTACTATCTTTGGGACCAAGCAGGTAGAGCTCCAACTAGGTTTCTCATATATATGGGTAGCAGGAACACCAAGCACTTGTGTTATCAAATGCTGCTTTCTCAGGTATATTAGCAGGGAGCTGGATCAGAGGCTGAGTATCTAGGACTCAAGTGCACTCAGTAGAGATGCTGGCTGGCATTGTATTCAGCAGCTTAACTGCCACAGCACAGGTCCCTCCCTGTCTGGTTAAACTCCTTTCAAATGAAAAAGTTAAATTACTGAAACCATGTAGGACTGAGACATATCCATCCTAAAGCAAAATTCTTCACCTAATTGTAAATCTCAAAAAGTTACTGCTTTCAGGACTGGTGCTATGGCATAGCAGGTAAAGCTGCTGCCTATGGCACCAGCATACCATGTGGGTGGCAGTCCCAGCTCCTACACTTCTTTTTTTTTTTTTTTTTTTTTTTGACAGGCAGAGTGGACAGTGAGAGAGAGAGAGAGAGAGAAAGGTCTTCCTTTGCCGTTGGTTCACCCTCCAATGGCCGCCGCGGCCCGCGCACCGCGCTGATCCGATGGCAGGAGCCAGGAGCCAGGTGCTTTTCCTGGTCTCCCATGGGGTGCAGGGCCCAAGCACCTGGGCCATCCTCCACTGCACTCCCTGGCCACAGCAGAGGGCTGGCCTGGAAGAGGGGCAACCGGGACAGAATCCGGCGCCCTGACTGGGACTAGAACCCGGTGTGCCGGCGCCGCTAGGCGGAGGATTAGCCTAGTGAGCCGCGGCGCCGGCCCTACACTTAATTATTTTTTAAAATATTTATTTGATACTGTACTTAGTGAAAAGGCTGAGAAACGATTATTATTTATTTGAAAGGCAGAGCTACAGAGAGGGAGAGAAGTCTTCTATCTGCTGGTTCACTCTGCAGATGGCCACAATGGCCGGAGCTGTGCTGATCTGGAGCTAGGAGCTTCTTCCGGGTCTCCCAGGCAGGTGAAAACACCCAAGGACTTGGGCCATCTTCTACTACTATCCCAGGCCATAGCAGAATTCGAAGTGGAGTAGCTGGGGCCTGAACTGGTACCCGATGCCAGTGCTGCAGGTAGTGGCTTTACCTGCTGTGCAACAGCAGTCCGCTCCCCTCCCCCCCCAACACTGAATGGTAGGATGGGCATAGGCTACCAGTAGTAAACAGTCCCCTTCAAGTGCAAGAACATGGGGGCTGGCGGTGTGATGTATTAGGCTGAGCCTCTGCCTGCATCACCAGCTGCTGCTCCTGATGCAGTTCTGCTTATGGCCTGGGAAGCCAGTAGAAGATGGCCCCGGTGCTTGGGCCCCTGCACCCATGTGGGAGACTAAGAGGCTCCTGGCTTCAGACCGGCACAGCTCCAGCCATTGTGGCCCTTTGGTGAACCAGTGAAGAATGAAGATATTTTTATCCCTCTGTAACTCTACCTCAAGTTAATCCTTAAAAAAAATGGGAGAAAATGAGAAAAGGAATTTTGGGTTGATTGCAAGCAATTTCAAAGCTGAGCAAATACCAAGGTTTCAAAATGATCTGGGACACAAGCCTCCTGAGAAAGGCAATACCTAGTCAGCTGAATAGGTTTATCAGCCTGTTGACTGCCTATAGTTTGAGGAGTTAAATGGCCTCCATTTTGTCCTTTGTCACAGGTTAAACTGATAGTGGTTCTTCTGGTGTAAAATTCCCACAGAACTGTAGATCTTCTGTGTGTGTCATGGGAATTCACTCCGTTAGAGAAATGTGAGGGAATAATTTTAGCTTCAGCCCTGGCTCTTGCCAAGGTGGTTCCTAGTTTCTGCCATTTTGTTGCCCCCTCCCCCCAAGTATTTATTTGAAAGGCAAAGTTAGCAATATTCTCCTTCTACTGGTTCACTCTCAATGGCCGCAACGGCCAGGATTGGGACAGGTCAAAAGCCAGGATTTCTCAGGTAGGTGCAAGGACCCAAGCACTTGAGCCATCTGCTGCTTCCAGGTACATTAGCAGAAAGCTGGATCAGAAGTGGGGCAACCAGGACTCCAACTGCTGCCCTTGTGGGATGCCGGCACTGTAGGTGGTGGCTTAACCCACTATGCCATAGGGCCAGCCCCTAGCAGCACTTTTAATGTCAGTATTTAGTAGGTCAATTTAAAAATTTTTAAGATTATTTACCTCAAAGAGTTACACAGAGAGGAGAGGCAGAGAGAGAGGTCTTTCATTCGATGGTTCACTCCCCAAATGGCCGCAACGGCCGGAGCTGCACCAATCTGGAGCCAGGAGCTTCTTCCGGGTCTCCCACATGGGTGCAGGGGCCCAAAGACTCGGGCCATCTTCTGTTGCTTTTCTGGGCCATAGAGAGCTGGGCAGGTAGTGGAGCAGCTGGGTCTTGAACCAGTGCCAATATGGGATGCCAGCGCTTCAGGCCAGGGCGTTAACCCACTGTGCCACAGCGCTGGCCCCAGTAGGTCAATTTTAAAAATCTGAAAATCAGAGTGATAAATCTTCCAGCTGCTGATTCACTCCCTGTCTCCTGGGTGGGTTGCAGGCCATTGAAGGACAGTGGCCTTTGTTACTTGCCCTGGTGAGTTAGGGAGCTGAATGGGAAGTGGAGCAAACAACTTCAACGGGTGCTCATGTACTTCAGATACCAAGAACCCCAGGCCTTACTCATAAAGATTTATTTTCTTTCTTTTCTTAGTTCTCACTAATGGGGGTGTTCCCATCCATATTTCTATAACAGCCAGCCTTCTAAGTTTTTGCTCTTCTCAATTTTTCAGCCTCTGCACATTGCCTAAGTCCAAAGCTGTGTCCACATTTTTAGCTGTGAGAAAATCACCCCACTTCCAGGTGGCAAAATTGGTATCAGCTTCATAAAGGGGCACACATTTGGTGCAGCAATTAAGTTGCCAATTGGGTTGCCCACATCCTGTGTCAAGTTCTGGGTCTGAATCCCCCATCTCTGCTTCAGATTCCAGCTTCCAGTAATGCACACCCTGGGACAATAGCTGTTGACTCCTTGGGTCCCTGCTACCCACATGGGACCACCTGGATTGGATTCCAGGTTCTTTGCTTCAGCCTGGCCCAGTCCTGGCCGTTGGGGACATAATGGCGAGTGAACCAGCCTCTGTCACTTGGGGGTAGCGAGTGTGAGTGAACATGTCCCATTCCCAGAGGATTCCCGAGGTGGAATTCAGGTAAGTAGGGGAGTGACTGCTGGAAGGACCGCTTCTTGAACCCTGCTATCTTGGGTCTGCGTGAGCTGAGTTGGATTTTTTTTTTTCTTAAAAATTTTTATTTGGAAGAGTTTTAATGTACTGACTCACTCCCCGAGTGTGGCAGGGACCCAGTCACTTGAACTCTCCTTGTCTTCCTCCCAGAGTGCTGGAATGGAGAGCAGCGCCATAGCTTGAACCCAGGCACTGTGATGCAGGCAAACCAAATGGGGGACTGGCTGCCGAGCCAAATGTCTGCCTCAGGAGCCAGGGACTTGTGGATAAAGGCACTGATGAGTGAAAGTAGTCTGTGCTAGAAATGACCCTTTTTGGGACCATATGTTATCCAAGGTAAAGGTTAAGCTGCTGCAAGTAGAGCGACTTGCTGTTTCTCCACGTTACAGAGTTAAGTGAGACTAGAGAGGAGTACTCTGGCTTCCTTACTATAGTACGGATTTTCAAAAAGTTCATTGAAAATGCAATGATGGGGCAGCGCCGCGGCTCACTAGGCTAATCCTCTGCCTGCAGTGCCAGCACCCCGGGTTCTAGTCCCGGTGGGGGCGCTGGATTCTGTCCTGGTTGCCCCTCTTCCTGTCCAGCTCTCTGCTGTGGCCAGGGAGTGCAGTGGAGGATGGCCCAAGTGCTTGGGCCCTGCACCCCATGGGAGACCAGGATAAGTACCTGGCTTCTGCCTTCGGATCTTGTCTCTCTCTCTCTCACTGTCCACTCTGCCTGTCAAAAAAAAAAAAAAAAGCATATGACGGGCCAGCGCTGTGGTGCAGCTGGTTGAAGCCTTGCCTGAGGTGCTGGCATCCCATAGGGGCGCCGGTTCTAGTCCTGGCTGCTCCACTTCCAATCCAGCTCTCTGCTATGGTCTGGGAAAGCAGTAGAAGATGGCCCAAGTCCTTGGGCCCCTGCACTCGGGCGGGAGACTGGGAGCAAATTCCTGGCTTCGGATCGGTCCAGCTCCGGCCGTTGCGACCATCTGGGGATTGGACCAGCAGATGGAAGACCTCTCTACCTCTTTCTATAACTTTCAAATAAATAAATCTTGAAAAAAAAATGCATATGAGAAAGTGATACATGGGTTCCAGTTTTGTTCCACTGTACTTCGTTTCTAAATTCAAGTAGGCTGCGGTCACCTCAGCATTGGAGGGAGAGGGTGAGGATGCTGCTCGCTCAGGAGCATGGCTTAAGCGCACACTCTGACTCCGTCCCCGCTGGCCATTATTAAATCACAAATCCACACCTAGCTGCCAGAGAGCTGGGAAAGTGGAAGTCTAGTGGGGTAGCCACTGCCAGCTCAAAAAGCCTTGGTGACTTCTCTATCCGTTTGATCTTGAACCACAAGGCAGCTGCTTCCCTCTGGCTTGCACCTTCCAGCTAGGTCCTCTGGTCGTCAGGACACTTCAAAGAGAAGCTGCTCCGACTGGCTGAACTGGCTCCAGGCCCTGACCTAACAGTCACACCGCAGTCCCTTTGCTGACCCCACACGGAGTGGCCACCAGATGCATTCCTACCGGTGCCCCTTGTCTTCCTAGTCCTTGTTCAAGGATCTTCTGGTCCCAGGAGTGTGCCCATCACACGCTGACCGCATCTTTCTGGGGAATGGTACATTCCACCTCTAACCGCCCTCCAGACACGCCGAGTGGCTCTATCTTCTCTGAACCTTAAATTTCTATTATAGCAGGGTGACTTCGGAGCCTGGGGTTGTGCAGCGTGTTGAGCTGCCGCTTGGTGTAGCCGCACCGCATATCCGAGTGCCTGGAACGGAGTCCCGCCTCGCTTCTCACCCAGCTTCCTGAGAGGGACGGAGTTCCTGGCTCCGGGCTTCCGGACTGCTGCGGGCATTCGGGGAGTGAACCAGCAGGTGGAAGTCTCTGTCTCCCCCAGGCTTCCAAATACATAAGCAAGATTTTAAGAACGAAGGAGGGTAAGCACTGGTCCAGCTCTGAAAGGCCTTGAGATTCCGGGAGGAGGAGTTTTGTAAAGTCCAGCCAGCTCCAACTCGGCGGTACACACTCTTTTGCATCTGCCCGAGAAGCGTTTGGGCGCCGGTATCAAGAGACCTGCTCAGACGTGCAGCTGCCACGGCCATCGTGTCCTTGCCCACGCAGCTAGGTGACGGTCCCGTCCGCGAGCCCCAGGTAGTTGAGGACTCAATTCATTCACAGAGATAAGAACTAGTGATTCCCAAACGAGGATCTCTGCTTCCACAGAATTACCAAGAAGGTGACCGGTGGGATAAATAACGCACCAACAACCCCGAGAAAGCTTTCCACGGACCTGGAGGGGCCGGCTGCCCGAGTACCACAATTATCGCGAGAAATTTCGCAGTTATCGCGAGAACAAGACAAGTTGCCGAAGCAGTGGCCGAAAACTCCACTGCGCAAGCGCAGTTTTGCTACCCACCCTTCCCCGCCCCGCTCTGTTGACGAACGCGCACGGCGGTGAGACGTACAGACGCCAGGGGAGCGCCGCCCGCAGGAGCACGCCCGTATTTCTTCCCCTCCCTCACTTTCACTTCCGGTCCTTTACTTCCTGTCTTACCGTCCGGGTCCTTCCGTTTATCCTTCCGACAAAAAGGTCGGGTGGTGCGCGCAGTTAGGCTCTTCAGCCTCGTGAGACTGTGAAGCTCCGTGCGCTGGGGCCGCAGGGCCCCGGGGCGGCGCCCTAGCCGAAACCATGGTGAGTGGAGTGTGTGGGCGAGGGGGGCCCGCAGCCTGGGTCCGTGCGCCCCTGCGGCCTTGGGGGCTTCTCTTCCAGCGGTCGCCGAGCTGGGAGAGCAGAGTGGGGTCCGGGGAGCTGCATACAGTTTCGGGCTGCCCCTCACAGCGTCGCGTGGGACAGCGCGGCGAGGGGGAGTCGCAGGGCCGCTGCGGCTGTGTTTGTGGGATTCTGTGTGTTCCAGCCCGTGAACTTGACGAGGGAGGGCTTAGCATCTCGGCTTCCTCGGAGCCCGGCCCGGCGACCGACTGGCACGCTCGCTGTAGGCGTTGGGCACCTGCTGAGGGAGGGCGTGGCGTGGACACGACTGAGGCAGCCGTGCGTGTTCGCACCGGCGGGCTGTGATGCTGGCTACTGGACGATTTGCGTTCAGTGAAACCCGCATAAGGCGCACACGGCGCCGGAGTGAGGGTGTAGAAGATGCCCCGAAGCCGTTGTTCCTTGGCGAGCACCAGGTCCCAGCGAGGAGCTGACCAGCGCCACGTCTCTGAGATAAGAGCTGTGATCCTTGTTGTAAAGGCGGGGAGACCACTTCTCAGGGATGGTGAAGTGGGAGAACTGGGAGTGGAACTCAGGTCTCTGCTGCGGTTTGCACTTCCGCCCGGAAAATGCATTCTCTGCCCGGCGCTGTTTCAGGGATGATGCACTTGACACCTGTGTGACGTTATTTACGTGAAACTCAGTTTGCAAGAACTGGCCTTGGGTCTGGACCCCTGTTTTCACTGACACACATGATGCTGGGTGGTCACTGCCATGGTTAAGTGTACACCTGGACAGGGCACCAGCCTGACTGCGAAGAAGGTGTCGTTGGAAGGACTTTCTGGGGTGGCGATGACGAACACAGAATCTGAAGTGGGAGTGGAGGTAGCCAGGATGAGTGGACGTAGCATAAGCCACAGGATTCGGACGCCTTTTTACTTTATTGTTATTGCTGTTGCTGTTTATATTAGGTAATTCGAGCATTCTGCTTGTGTCCTTGTAGAATTTTTCGCTTAGAAGTAAAAAACCAAACTTGTATTTAAAACATGGTCATTTTTCTTCCCTTCTCTCTCCTTCCAGGCTCGAAATGCAGAAAAGGCCATGTAAGTATCCACTTGTTTTGGACTGTGAATTTTTTGTAACTTAATAGCCACCACTGAACACTATTAGTATTTGATCCTTTACCAAAAGAAGCCTGTTTCATTCTCTCTTTTTGAGATTTATTTATTTATTTGAAAGGCAGAGTTACACAGAGAGAGAGAGAGAGATTTTCCATCTTCTGGTGTACTGTCAAAATGGCCGCAACAGCCAGGGCTGTGTCAGGCTAAAGCCAGGAGCTTCTTCCAGGTCTCATGCCTGGGTGCAGGGACCCATAGACTTGCACTGCATTCCCAGGCACATTCACAGAGAGCCGGGTCAAAAAAGTGGAACGACTGGGACTCGAACCGGTGTCCACATGGAATGCCGGCACTTCAGGCCGCAGCTTAACCTGCTTGGCCCCCCTTTCTTTCTCTATGTTAAAATAGCATTTTCTCGTTGGCTCTTTGTATTTTCTGTTGGTGTTTTCCGACAGCTTCTAGAAGTTGTTTCAGATGAACATCCCTTCAGCCTGCCGATGGTGCAGGGGCTGTGAGGATGACAGTGAGGGCACTCCACAGTACTGATCATGGGTGTGCTGCTTCACAGTGGTCTGACGGGTGGAGTTTCCCATAGTCCTCACACGCACGGTGGACGTAAAGCAGATTATTGGGTGTTGAGGAACACAAATGGTTTTATTCTTGGGATACTTTACTCTAATTTCTTTCTTTCTTTCTTTCTTTCTTTCTTTCTTTCTTTCTTTCTTTCTTTCTTTCTTTCTTTTTTTTTATTTTTAAGATCTATGTATTTATTTGAAAGAGATAGAGGGGCTGGCGCTGTGGCTCACTTGGTTAATTCTCCGCCTGCGGCACCGGCATCCTATATGGGCACCGGTTCCAGTCCCGGTTGCTCCTCTTCCAGTCCAGCTCTCTGCTGTGGCCTGGGAAGGCAGTGGAGGATGGCCCAGGTGCTTGGGACCTGCACCCGCATGGGAGACCAGGACGAAGCACCTGGCTCCTGGCTCGTGGCTCCTGGCTTCGGATCGTTGCAGCACTGACTGTGGTGGCCATTTGGGGAGTGAACCAATGGAAGGAAGACCTTTCTCTCTGTCTCTCTCACTGTCTGTAACTCTACCTGTCAAAAAAAAAAAAGACAGAGAGAGAGCTTCCATCCTCTGGTTCACTCCACAAATGGCCAAAACAGCCACGGCTGGGCTAGCCTGATGATAGGCACCTGATACTCCACCCAGGTCTCCCGCTGGGCGGGGGCCCAAGCAGTTGGGCCATTTTCCACTGCCTTCCCAGGTGCATTAATGGATAGGAAATAGAGCACCTGGACTGGAGTTGGTGCTCATATGGGTGTGTGCATCACACCCAGTTGCTTAACCCACTGTGCCACAATGCTGGCCCCTACTCTGGTTTCGTTTCTTTTTATTTTTCCCCTTAAGAATTATTTATTTATTTGAAAGTCAGAGTTTCACACACAGAGAGGGGGAGAGAGGCAGATATGATGTGAATTGAGCTGCATATCTAATTTAATCTTTACCACAGTTTTCCCTTGGTAGAAGCAGATGATAGTACTTAGAGAATGTTAGGTAACTTGCCCTGAACCTCAAGCTAATAAGAATCAGAACCAGGACTGTAATTCAGAACTGACTCAACATCTGTGCTCTTAATATTTATTAATACCACTGTCTTAAAGAGCTTTGAAACCTGTTTGCTCAGTTTTAGAGTGCTTTTCCCAGGGTTAAACACTGGCAAGAACTTTATTGAGGTGTAGCTTTCATAAATACCTTTTTCTTTTCTTTTCTTTTAAAAATTTATTTATTTATTTGAAAGGCAGAGTTACAGAGAGGCAGAGGCAGAGAGAGAATGAGAGAGAGAGATAGACACAGACCAAGTTGTCTTCCAGCCACTGGTTCACTGCCCAAACGGCCACAACAGCCAGAGCGGCACCTATCCAAAGCCAGGAGCCAGAAGGTTCCTCTGGGTCTCCCATGCGGGTGCAGGGGCCATCTTCTACTGCTTTCCCAGGCCACAGCAGAGAGCTGAATCGGAAGAGGAGCAGCTGGGACTTGAACCGATGCCCATATGGGATGCTGGCACTGCAGGCAGGGCTTTACCCGGTACACCACAGCACCGGCCCCTGAATATTTTCATGAGTAGATCTATCCTAGCAGAACTTAGGTGACAAGAAATCTGTGAGTAGAATCTAATGGAGTCTTTTATGCCCCTCTTAGGACGGCCTTAGCAAGGTTTCGCCAAGCCCAGCTGGAAGAGGGAAAAGTGAAGGTTGGTGCAGATCTTCCTCATGAATTGTAATGTATCACGACGAATGCAGTGAGGCTCCCCCTGGATAGACTTCATGTTTCTCGTCTGTACTTGATTGTCCTCTGCAGAGTCTACGCTTGGATTCCAGAGCTGGGGCATTGTGTTGATCTGGCTGCTTGTTCTGTTTCTGTCATGTGATGGCCGAGTTCTCATGTTTTCTCAGCTCTCTCCAGTATTGAATAGGGAGTAGAGAATGATGTGTGAAACACCTCTAAACTGAAACTGATCTCAACTCATGGAGGCTCAGCTGGATTAGGGATAATACATACTGGTTACTGGATATTTTTCTTTGCTTCTTTGAAAATTCTATACACACATGTATGTGTATATTCAGACACATGTTTGTGTATTGTGTATGCACACATATTTACATACGTTTCTTCTGTTGACGTCATTTTTTTAAAAAAATATTTATTTATTTGAAAGTCAGAGTTACACAGAGAGAGAAGAGGCAGAGAGAGAGAGGTCTTCCAGCCAATGGTTCACTCCCCAATTGGCTGCAATGGCTGGAGCTGTGCTGATCAGGAGCCAGGAACTTCTTTTGGGTCTCCCACATGGGTGAAGGGGCCCAAGGATTTGGGCCATCTTCACATCTTCCACTGCTTTCCCAGGCCATAGTAGAGAGCTGGATCAGAAGTGGAGCAGCCGGGTCTCGAACTGGTGCCCATGTGGGATGCTGGCGCTTTAGGCCAGGGCATTAACCCGCTGCACCACAGCCCCCCCCCCCCCCCCTTTTAAAAAGATTTATTTATTTTATGTCATTTCTTAAAGTACTGTAAGATTGTCATGCAATAGTAAAACTTATTTAGCCGTCTCATATTACTGGACATTAGTTTCCACTGTTTCACTTTATTGATACAATGAATGTGGTTGTTGTGGAGGGATCTTTAAGACCTGATGAAGATCACCTGGGACTGAAACGTAAATGCGTGTAGACCATCAGACATTTTAGGTTTCAAGCCTGATTCGGCTGTTGATGCTGGATGAAAGTTTTGACTGGGGTAGCAGTGACACCTGTTGTTTTGCTGCCCCTTAGGAACGAAGGCCCTTCCTTGCTTCGGAATGTACAGAGCTGCCCAAGGCTGAGAAGTGGAGACGGCAGGTAGGTTCTGTGTGAATCGGATGTTGTGTGTAACAAGTCTCTGATTGCCTCTTATCACCTGAATGACACACTAGAATTCTAAATATTCTAGGTACTAATTTTGAATTCTAGTTCTCCAGTCCTTTCAGACACATTCAGGAGTCATTAAAAACATACTATGTATTTTTTCCACAGATCATTGGAGAGATCTCTAAAAAAGTGGCACAGATTCAGAATGGTAAGCCAGCTTGACCCTGTAAACTGCTCGATTCTGAAATCCAAAAGTATTCCTGAGGACTTCAATGTTCCTAACGTATTAAGGAATAAAACAAAAAGATAACAAATTGCTAAAGACATAGAAGAAAGGAACAGTACTGTCAATTTGACATAGCTAATATTTATTGAATACACTATTTAACCCCAAAGAATACATTTTCCCCGGGTTCTAGTCCAGGTTGGTGCGCCGGATTCTGTACCGGTTGCTCCTCTTCCAGTCCAGCTCTCTGCTGTGGCCCGGGAAAGCAGTGGAGGATGGCCCAAGTCCATGGGTCCTGTACCCGCATGGCAGACCAGGAGGAAGCACCTCGCTCCTGGCTTCGGATTGGCGTAGCACCCCGGCCGTGGTGGCCATTTTCAGAGGTGAACCAACAGAAGGAAGACCTTTCTTTCTGTCTCTTTCTCTCTCACTGTCTAACTGCCTGTCAAAACAAAACAAAACAGAATATGTTTTCATTTCTTAAGAATACATGGAGGGGCTGGTGCCATGGCTCACTTGGTTAATCCTCCGCCTGCGGCACCGTATCCCATATGGTGCCCATATGGGCACCAGTTCTAGTCCCAGCTGCTCCTCTTCCAGACCAGCTCTCTGCTGTGGCCCAAGAGGGCAGTGGAGGATGGTCCAAGTGCTTGGGCCCCTGCGCCCGTGTGGGAGACCAGGAGGAGGCACCTGGCTCCTGGCTTCGAATCAGCACAGTTCTGGCTGTGGCAGCCATTTGGGGGGTGAACCAACAGAGAGAGGACCTTTCTCTCTGTCTCTCTCTCTCACTGTCTAGAACTCTACCTGTCCAAAAAAAAAAAAAAAAAAAAGACTACATGGGGAGTCGTTGCTGTGCCATAGCAAGTGAAGCCACTGCCTGCAGTGCCAGCATCCCATATTGGCACCGGTTTGAGTCCTGCCTGTTCCACTTCCAATCCAGCTTTCTGCTGTGGATTTGAAGGCAGTGGAGGATGGCCCAAGTCCTTGGGCCCCTGCACCCACTTGGGAGACCCGGAAGAAGCTCCCAGCTCCTGGCTTCAGATCTGCACTGCTCTGGCTGTTGCGGTCATTTGCAGAGTGAAGCAGCAGATGGAAGACTCTTCTCTCTCTCCCTCTGCCTCTGCCTCTACCTCTTTGTAACTCTGCCTTTCAAATATATAGATCTATCTGAAAAAAAAAAAAAAAAAAAGTACATGGAACATTCACCAAAATAAAACATGTTCTGGGCTGTTAAGCAAATGTTAGCAAATTTAAATCATTGAAATCATGCCACATATGTTTTTTGAAAATAACAATGGAAAGATATCTGCAAAATTCTTAAGTATTTGGGAATTAAACAACATGTTTATAATTTTTCTAAAAGATTTATTTATTTATTTAAAAGACAGAGTTACAGAGGCAGGGAGAGAGAGAGAGGAATGTCTTTTGTCCGATGGTTCACTCCTCAAATGGCTGCAGTGGTCAGAGCTGGGTTGATCCAAAGTCAGGAGCCAGGGGCTTCTGGGTCTCCCACTCAGGTACAGGGCTCCAAGCACTTGGGGCACCTTCTGCTTTCCGAGGGCATAGCGGAGAGGTGGATCAGAAGTGGCGCAGCCGAGACTCAAACTGGCACCTATATGGGATGCTGGTATCGCAGGTGGCAGCCCCACAACATGCTTATAATTACCCATGTATGTAAGAAGAAACTACAAGAAAATTAGAAAAAAATTAAATTGAATGAGAATTAAAACATAACATTAAAATTTAGGAGATGAGAAAATTTTAAGGGGTACATTCTTCGATGAAAACTTATGACACTGAAATAATAGAAAATGAGAAAAGTTTCAAATCAGTGATTTAAGTTTCTATCCTAATAAACTAGAAAAGAACAAATTCAGCCCAAAGCCAGCAGAAGGAATGAAATAATAGAGTAGAAATCAGTGAAATTAAAAACAGATGAGAGGTGGGCATTTGGCCCGTCAGTTAAGACTCTGTTTAGGATACCTGAATGCCGCATCAGGATAGGTGGGTTTGATCCCTGGCTGTGGTTTCTGATTTCGGCTCCCTTTTGACGCATTCCCTATGTGGCAGCAGTGATGAGTCAAGTAGTTGAGTTCTAGCCACCCATGTGGGAGATGTGGATTCAGTTCCTGGCTCCTGGCTTTGATAACTGCAACTGCTACCCATTGAGATCACGGGGGAGTGAGTGATGGACAGGAGCTCATAGTTTAAAACCTTCCAACAGAGAAATTCCTGACCTGGATAGCTTCACTGATCAGTTTTCTTCTACTAAACGTTTAAGGAAGAAGTAATAGAATTCCATATAACTTCTTGCAGGAAGTTGAAGAGCAGCGAAGATTTCATAATTTGTTCTATGAATTCTAATTCAGCATTAGCATAGATATTAAAATCAGGAAAAGGCATTCTAAGAAAAACAGTTAACAAATCAATATTCCTCATGGAAGTGGACAGAATTCTTCAACAAAATATTAGCAAGTCAAATCCAGCAGTATTTCAGCAGGTTCACATCCTAACCAAGGAGGAATGCATGGTTGATTCAGCGTTCAAAAGTCAACTAGGGACAGGTGTTTTTTTTTTTTTTTTTTTACAGATTGGACAGTGAGAGAGAAAGGTCTTCCTTTTCCGTTGGTTCACCCTCCAATGGCCGCCGCGGCCAGCACGCTGCGGCCGGTGCACCGCGCTGATCAGAAGGCAGGAGCCAGGTGCTTCTCCTGGTCTCCCATGGGGTGCAGGGCCCAAGCACTTGGGCCATCCTCCACTGCACTCCCTGGCCACAGCAGAGAGCTGGCCTGGAAGAGGGGCAACCAGGCCAGAATCCGGCGCCCCAACCGGAACTAGAACCCGGTATGCCGGCACCACAGGCGGTGGATTAGCCTATTGAGCTATGGCACCGGCCGGGACAGTTACTTGTGGCGCAGCAGATGAAGCCACCACCTGCAGCGCTGGCACCCATATGAGTGTTGGTTCTAATCCTGGCTGTTCTGCTTCCTATGCAACTCCCTGTTAATGCACGCAGGAAAGCAGCGGAACCTGCTGAAGTACCTGGGCTCCTGCCACCCATGTGGGAGACCCAGGTGAAGCTCTTGGCTTTGGCCTTGCCTCGTCCTGGCCACTGCAGCCATCTGGTCAGTGAACCAGCAGATGGAAGATCTCTGTCTCTCCCCCTCTCTCTGCAACTCTGCCTTTCAAAAAATTCTTAAAACAAGAGAATAGTGTTGTTTTTTTATCACCCTTTTGGAAGAGGAAAACTGGATGGTCCTCTCAGTAGATGCAGCCAAAAGTATTTGGCAGGATTTAGCATTTGTTTGAGATAAAACCTCTTGGCAAACCAGGAGTAAAAGGGAGCGTTTTTACCCTGATAATGCAATTCTGCTACAAACTTGACAGCCATTGTCATACTTAATGATAATAGATTGAATACATTCATCTTATCATCAAGAACAAGGCAAAAATGCCTATTCATGCCACTGTCGTTTAAAGTCATAATGGAAATCCCAGCCAGTGTAGAAGTGCAAGAAAAGGAAATAACAAGTATATAGTGTGGAAAAGAAAAAATGAACTATTAGTATATAGAAGATTGTACTCAGTTTTCTATGTAGAAAATTCCAAGGATTTTACAAAAAGACTTCTCAAACAAATATATGAATTTAGCCAGGCCACAGGATAGAAGAGCAGTATACAGAAATTCTGTTTTTTTAAGGTTTTATTTATTTTTGTTTTATTTGAAAGAGAGAGAAAGAGAGATCATCTATTTTCTGGTTCACTCCCTCACAACAGCCATGGTTCAGGAGTCTGGAACTCAGTCTGTGTCTCCCATGTGGATGACAGGAACCTAAGTATGAGTCATCGTCTGCTGACTCCCAGGGTGTGCGTTCTCAAGAAGCTGGATTGGAAGCAGGGTAGCCTGAACTCTAAACAGGCATGCCATAGGGGTGCAGGTGTTCCAGGCTGTGGGGAAAGGAATTATAAAGAACAATAAGAATACTAATAATTTGCTTTAAAAAATGGGCAAAATGATAAGCACTTGACCAAAGACAATGTAGAGGCAATTGAGCATCTTTTCATGTGTTTTACATACTAGTCAACAAGGAAGTACAAATTAAAACTACAGTGCAGTACTGCTGCAGTTGTATTAGGCTTAAACAAAAAGTGGCAATACCAAGTATCGGCAGAAATGTGAAGCAGTTGGCACTCTGATATGCTGCTGATGAGGAAACAGTGCTATAGTCACTCTGGAGTGTGGTTTGATAATTTCTTAAAAAAACATTTATTTATTTATGTGAAAAAGTTATAGAGAGACAGAGACAGAGAGAGGTCATCCATCTACTGGTTCACTCCCCAGATGGCTGCAACAGCCAGAGTGCCGATACAAAGCCAGGAGCCAGGAGATTCTTCCGGGTCTCCCACGCAGGTGCAGCAGCCCAAGCACTTAGGCCATCTTCCACTGCTTTCTCAGGCCATAGCAAAGAACTGGATTAGAAGTTGAGCGGACGAGACTCAAACCAGCACCCATATGGGATGCTGGCACTGCAGGCGGTGGATTACCTCCTGTGCCACAGCACTGGCACCAATAGGGGCCGTTCTATACTCGAATTTGTTATTCTGAATTTCTTTATAAAGGCCTTGCTATGTCTCCACTGCATGCAAATTGTCCCATGCAGCAGCTTCATGATACCAGTTTCCAACCTGTCAGAGTTGGTCAACCATTTTCCCTTCTCTGTGGTGGGATACCCAGCTGCTTCTGGTTCTTGACCATGGTAAACAGCAGCTTGGCCAACTCTTATGTGTATCTTTTTCAGTTAGTGCCTTAGCTTCATTCTCAGGCTGATACTCCTTGAGAAAACATTTTCCGACGTAACAACACACTGCTTTCCTGAAAGAGCTGAACACCGAAGGCTGCCAGCCAGGGTCATTATACCAGCTTCATTACAGCTTTGCTGGCCTCCCTACCCCTTTAAGAGTTGGCTATTTTAATAGTTGTAGCAATAGAACTACATTGTAGTTTGTTTCTTCAGGCGCTATTGAGGATGAAGTTGTTTCCAAGGATTTTTTTCTTCTGTGATTGTGAAAACTCCTTGCTCTTTCATGTATCTGGGTATGGATGGTTTGTCTTGTCAGTTTAAATGAATATTTTTATGTAATACACCTTTGTAGTTGTTGACATGCATTTTAAATATATGATCTTGTATTGGGGGTCTTGGTGGACATTTTTTAAACAGGGCTTGCCCTATTGGCGAAATATATTACTAACATTTTTGTTTTCTAGCTGGTTTAGGTGAATTCCGAATTCGTGACCTGAATGATGAAATTAACAAGCTGCTGAGAGAGAAAGGACACTGGGAGGTCCGAGTGAAGGAGTTGGGTGGTCCTGATTATGGGGTAAGTAAGCAGTAGCCCCCTGGTGCCTGCAGGGGAGCTGGAGAGCTTTTGGCCCCAGAAGTGGTGCTTGACAATGAAAGAAGGCTTCAAAAGTATCTTGTCCATGGCGTGTGGCAGGAGACCTGTGATAAAAATGGGTACCAAAGGCTCTTGACTGCTACTTATCTCTCTCTGCTTGTGTTTAAAATGATCATGACCCGCACACATCCTTCTCTGAGATTTTTGGGAATTGGGGGCAGCCATTTGTTGGCTTCTTTACTTGATGGAGCCTCAGGAATACTCCCTCTGTCTGTCCTTTTCTGGGTTCTTAATAATACAATACTGTTTTCAGTGGCTTTCAAGTCATTTTAAGGCCATGTTCTGGTCACACACATACATGCTTTATCAGAACCTAGAACACATAAAAATGTGGAAAAATACTTAGTACGTGTGATATACTTGGATATTTCCCATGCTGTTCTATTTTGGTTTTTCAAAAATTGATGTATGTGACCTACTTAATCAATTCCATGGCCCACTAAGGGTCTTGAGTTTGAAATCTTCCATCCTGGAGCCTGAATCTTTCTTTACCCATGTGTGAGGAGACCTACCTTGGATCACTGAGAATGGTAGTATCTCGTCAGTGGTAAGAAGCACACACCATTTTTTCACATGTTGGCCCTTTGACTTTATGACAGTCCCTCCTAAAACCATAATCCCCACTTTAGGATGTGAGTGTTTGTTTCTGTGCAGAGGGAAAGCACTCACATCACTGGAGTGCTGGCTTGTTCAAGGCACCAGGCTGGGAATTTTTTAGTTAGTTGTCCGACTTAACCTCTTCAGTGCTGTGGAGCAGATTTTTATTTTTCCTGTAAAGCTGCTGAAAAGCTATAAAGCTATACTGAAATGTATTAATGCTGTAAAGCTATACTGAAATGTATTAATGTGGCTAAGAGTGAGTTCAGATCTATTAAGAAATTAACAGGTAATATGGTCTTAAGTTCTACCACTCAGATTGGACACTATTCATATATATATTTCTCTTCTAAAATTGTCTAGTACTTAATATTTTCATTTTCTTTTTAAAAACAATTTTATTTGAGAGGCGGAAAGGCTGACAGAGAGAGGTCCCATCCACTGGCTCCCTCCGTAAATGCCCAGAGTGGCTAGGGTTAATCCAGGCTGAAGCTGGAGCCTGGAATTCAACTCAGGTCTCTCAGGGAGGTAGGGACCCAGCTACTTGAGCCGTCCCCTGCTGCCTCCCCTGGTGAGCATTAGCTGGAAGTTGGAATTGGGAGCAGAGCCAGAACTCATTCAGGCATTCTCTATGGGATGTGGGCGTCCCAAGGGGCATCTTAACTGCTAAGTCAGATATCTGCTTCCATAAGTTATATCTAAGTCAATAAGACAGTTTCATAAAGACCATAATTTTTAAAGTATAGAGTATATTCCTTTAGTGAATATGCTGTAATTTGTTTAAGTGGGCCTCATATTATTAGATTTTAAAGGAAGAAAAAAATACATGGAATTTTTCTGTATACAGATATTTTCCACATTAAACATAATTTGAAATGTGTTTGCAATCATGAAAATAGCAAGTTTACAGGTCAAATTTGTTTCTTCTTTTTTTTTCTCCCAATAAGAAAGTTGGCCCTAAAATGCTGGATCATGAAGGGAAAGAAGTCCCGGGAAACCGAGGTTACAAGTACTTTGGAGCAGCAAAAGATTTGCCTGGTGTTAGAGAGTTGTTTGAAAAAGAACGTAAGTAACTCAAGTTTGAGATTTTAACCTCTAGTTGTTGGTTATCATCATAAGGCTGGGTGTGCTGTGTGCTCAGTGCTTTTTCTGTGTCTTGTATAGCAGCCCTATAGTTTAGGAATTATTGTTCTCAGATTTTATGAGTTTTAAACACATTGATTATTCAATTTTTAAAAATATTTATTTATGGCTGGCGCCATGGCTCACTAGGCTAATCCTCCGCCTGCAGCACTGGCACACCGGGTTCTAGTCCCGGTCGGGGCGCCGGATTCTGTCCCGGTTGCCCCTCTTCCAGGCCAGCTCTCTGCTGTGGCCAGGGAGTGCAGTGGAGGATGGCCCAAGTGCTTGGGCCCTGCACCCCATGGGAGACCAGGAGAAGCACCTGGCTCCTGCCTTCGGATCAGCGCAGTGTGCCGGCCACAGTGTGCCAGCCGCGGCGGCCATTGGAGGGTGAACCAACGGCAAAGAAGACCTTTCTCTCTGTCTCTCTCTCTCAGTGTCCACTCTGCCTGTCAAAATATATATATATATATATATATATATTTATTTATTTATTTATTTATGTCTTTGAAAGGCAGAGAGATCTTCCATCTACTGGTTCGTTCCCAGATTACTCCACAGCCAGGGCTGGGCCAGGCACAGCTAGGAGCTAGGAATGCCATCTGGGTCTCTTATATGGGTGACAGGAGCCCAAGCACTTGGGCCATCTTCTTCTGCCTTCCTGGTCACATTAACAAGGAGCTGGATAGAACTGGAGCAGCTGGGTCTTGAACCAGCACTCCTATGCAAGAGATGCTGGTGTCCCAAACAACAGCATAACCTGCAGTGCCACAATGCTGGCTTCTGGTCCCAGATTTTAAATGAGGAGCCATGGCACTGCAGTTGAAATCACAGGCCCAGGGCGTGCAGCTGGGACTGGGGAGTGAGCCCAGGATTAGCTAGCCACCTCGTCTGAACATACCAGTCTGTATGTTTAGACAAGGGTTTTCCCTGTTCAGTTTCCCAAATCTATTGAAACAGGCTCTGAAGTTCATTCAGTCAGGGTCATGTTTTATTTACTTATTAGTTGAAAAAATTTTATTTTTATTTTTTTACAGATAGAGTTAGACAGTGAGAGAGACAGAAAGATCTTCCTTCCATTGGTTCACCCCCCAAATGGCCGCCATGGCCGGAACTTCGCTGATCCGAAGCCAGGAGCCAGGTGCTTCCTCCTGGTCTCCCATGCGGGTGCAGGTCCCAAACACTTGGGCCATCCTCCGCTGCCTTCCCGGGCCACAGCAGAGAGCTGGACTGGAACAGGAGCGACTGGGACTAGAACCCAGTGCCCATATGGGATGCCAGCACCACAGGCGAAGGATTAACCAAGTGAGCCACGACACCTCCCCGAAAAATTTTTAATTGTTGAACGTATCAAGGCTTGGGCCAAACCCCTACATGTATTAAAAAAAAAAAAAGTGGAGCTATTCCTTTCGAATCCAAGTTGGGCACCCCCACCTCTTTCCCTTCTTTCCACCATTGCACATGGAGAACTTCAGGCAAACTTGGGGCTTTCAAAAAAATAATTAAATAGCCGGCGCCGTGGCTCAATAGGCTAATCCTCCACCTTGCGGCGCCGGCACACCGGGTTCTAGTCCCGGTTGGGGCGCCGGATTCTGTCCCGGTTGCCCCTCTTCCAGGCCAGCTCTCTGCTATGGCCAGGGAGTGCAGTGGAGGATGGCCCAGGTGCTTGGGCCCTGCACCCCATGGGAGACCAGGAAAAGCACCTGGCTCCTGGCTCCTGCCAGGATCAGCGCGGTGCGCCGGCTGCAGCGGCGGCCATTGGAGGGTGAACCAACGGCAAAAAAGGAAGACCTTTCTCTCTCTGTCTCTCTCTCTCACTGTCCACTCTGCCTGTCAAAAAAAAAAAAAAAAAAAAAAAAAAAAAAAAAAAAAAAATAATTTGAGGTCATTGGTTTGGGATCTTTGTGCACTTTAATTTTGTCTTGTAGAAAAGTATTGTAAAGACTTTGTGGAAGCAGTGTTTGTTATGCTTGGTACATCAAAGTGCAATTCTGCTTGTATCAAACCCTGCTTACTGGCTTTGCATGCATTGTTACCATCCCTTAAAAACAGTTGGTGGCAGGCTTTTGGTCTAGTGGTTAAGATGCCGCTTCAGAGTGCCTGGGTTCAAGTCCTGACTCTTAACTCCTAAGACTCATGCCAGTTTCTTGCCAGTGCTGACTCTGGGAGGTGATGGCTCAAGTACTTGGATTCCTGCCACACATGTGGGAGATGCAGGTTAAGTTCTGACTACCAGTTTCGTCCAGTCCTAGCCAAGCCATTGGGGTCAATTGGGGAATGAATCAGAGATGGTGGCTCTTTGCGTCTCTCCCTAACACCCACCTCTCTGCCTCTCCAATACATTTTTTTTAAATAACGATAATAATCATTTAGATTTTAAACATGTCACCTATCATTAAAGCAATATATTTATTTTAGAGAAGTTGTAAAATACAGAAAATCAGGAAAAAAAAACCCTCAGTGTATTTTTTATTTATTGCCATTGTGGATTGCTTTCTTTCTTGAACAAGCAATGAAATGAGTCAGTCCTGCTGAGTGTAGTTCAGATAGTACAGAAAAAAGTCCCTTGTCACCCCTGTCCAGTGCCTTTGTCTTATTAGTATACTTATGTTTACCATCATGCATTTTCATTAAACATTATGACATTTTCAGTGTAATTAAAACCCTGTGCTACAGGATATCCCATCCTGCATACATTTTATAATTTGTAGCTACAACTTCTTCCCCAAGATTCACTATCAATAGAAATAATGCTGTGATACATCCCCTGTCCACAAAGCTTTGCTAGCCTGGGTTTGTGCTTGTTTAAATTAGGATGGATTCCTTTTAAGTGGACTAATTGGGTTTAAATGTGTTGAATCACTTAAATCAACCCTTGCAAAGTACAGAGAGGTGCCTGTTTCATTGTGTTTTCCTGCACAGACATGTTGTATGGCTCCGTCCACAGCATGTTACAGGGGGGAGCCCTGGTGTGATGCTGACTTGAGAATCCAGCTATATTCCTGCTCTTTCTTGCAGCTCTCCCTCCTCCCAGGAAGACACGTGCTGAGCTCATGAAAGCGATCGATTTTGAGTACTATGGTTACCTGGATGAAGACGATGGAGTTATTGTGCCTTTGGAACAGGAATACGAAAAGAAACGTAGGTCTATGGAATGTAGTTTTTTTTAAAGATTTATTTATTTTATTTAAAAGAGTTACAAAGAGAGAGGAGAGGCAGAGAGAGAGAGAAAGGTCTTCCATCCGATGGTTTATTCCCCAGTTGGCCGCAACGGAAGTGCATTGATCTGAAGCCAGGATCCAAGAGATTCCTCCAGGTCTTTCATGTGGGTGCAGGGGCACAAGGACTTGGGCTATCTTCCACTGCCTTCCCAGGCCACAGCAGAGAGCCGGATTGGAAGTGGAGCTGCCGGGTCTCGAACCGGCGCCCATGTGGGATGCTGGCACTTTAGGCCAGGGCGTTAACTCACTGCGCCACAGCACCGGGCCCAGGATTGTAATTTTTTACAAATGGCCCCTAGTCTGTGTTGCAAACAGCACTTTAAACCATGCTTCAAGCCAGAACAGCTATTTCTTTGCTGCTGGTGGCCTTCACAGGTAATGTTCTGGTAAAGACCTGAGCCCCAATTGGCAGGTGCAGTAGTCAGGACTGTGCTGGGCCAGAAGCACCATCTAGATTTCTTCCAAAATGGCCTGTCTTAAATTTGTCAAATGGTACCCATTTCAATAGCTTTTTTTTAAATATAGATTTATTTATTTATTTGAAAGATAGAACTGAACAGAGAGAGGGAGAGACAAAGATGGAGAGATACCTTCCATGGGCTGGTTTACTCCTTAAATGGCCACAACAGCCAGATCTGGGCCAGGCTGAAGCCAGGAGCCCAGAACTTCTCTCCATGTGAATGTCAGGGATCCTAGCACTTAGGCCATCTTCTGCTGCCTTCCCAGGCACATCAGTCAGGAACTGGATCAGAAGTAGAACAGCTGGGACTCGAACTGGCACCCCACAGGCACAACTACAGTTCCTAAAGTACCTTTTTGATCTACTTAAAATGCAGCTAAAAGGTTTTTGCTGTGGAATGGGAGGGTGTCAGTGAGCACTTTGTTTATGCCAGCACTGTGCTAAGCAGTTCACAGGTGTTTGTTTTGTTGTTTTATTTGAAAGCAGAGTTATGGGGGGATTGTTTTTTCCATCTTTTGGTTTATTCCCCATATGGCCATAACAGCCTGGGCTCAGCCAGGCTGAAACCAGGAGCCAGAAGCCAGAGGCTTCATCCAGGTCTACCCCGTGAATATGAATATGAAAAGAAAGGTATGAATTTGGGCCTAGGAACAATAGCAGGGAGCTGAATCAGAAGTACAGTAGACAAGACTTGAACCATCATCCATATGGGATGCCTGTTCCAACACACTGCACTACAGCGCCAGCCTCTGCAGGTGTTGGAAGCTTCATGATGGGAATGGGAGGGTTGTGTTCACGCTGATGCATGGGACACACAGAGCAAGGACTTGGGAAGTAGGTTGTTTGGAGCTGGGGCTGTGTTCCTGTGTACTGAGTTCCTGCACATGTTATTTTTTTTGAGTGTGTCTGGAAGCCACTCACGTTGCTAAACCAGGGAGGATCTAGAGATGGTCCCTAAAAATGCTGTCTGATAGTGGCCTGCTGGAACTGTTGGAGGACCTGACTGTCCCTCACGTCCATGAATGAAAGGTGTGCATTTCCAGAGGACCTTTCCCTGTGTAGTGTTGAAAGCTCAGTTAGAGACTGGAATAAACAGCATTTGCTCTCCCTTGTGTCCAGTCAGAGCCGAGCTGGTAGAGAAGTGGAAGGCAGAGAAGGAGGCCCGGCTGGCAAGAGGAGAAAAAGAAGAGGAGGAGGAAGAGGAGGAAGAGATCAACATCTACGCTGTCACCGAGGAGGAGGTACTGTCGTCGGTGCCCTGTGATGCTTGTTGCCCTCTGCTCTGAGCCTTGAAGCATGGCGGGGCGGCAGCTTGGCTCAGAAGTGAGGGGTAGGGGGTGCAGCCCAGCTTCCTTGACTGCAGGGTCACAGGGAGGGTTTCAGAACAGTGGCTGTGAGAGCTCTTTGTCAGCTGTGATTAAAGGCATTTTTTAAAAAAATTTCATTTTATTTAAAAGGCAGAGAGACACACAGAGACAGGTAGGGAGAGATCTTCTGTGTACTGGTTTACTCCCCATATGCCTACAGTAGCTGAGACTGGGCCGGGCCAAAGCCAGGAGTTTGGAACTCAGTTCACAACTTGCACATGGGTGGCAGCGACCCAAACACTTGAGTCATCAGCTGCTGTCTCCAGGGTACACATTGGCAGGAAGCTGGAAGCCTAGTTACAGTCAGGGCTTGGAGTAGGCACTGTGCTATGGGATGTCTTAAGCAGCATCTTAACCTCTGCACCAAACACTTGCCTCCCTTTCTTCTTAAAGTGCTCAATGTACTGGAATCGGATTTATAAACCCAGTTGAAGTCATACAGGTTTAGGCCATGACCTCATTGTTTCTGTTCAATTGCAATGCTGACAGTGCTTCTGTACGCCTGCATTTTACAGACAAACTGGCCTAGAGCAAAGAGGGGACTTCCTCAAAGTGTCACAGATGGAGGTGGAGCTGCAGTCCCCAGCTCTCAGGCTGGACCTCAGGCTCCAGGCCCTTCTGCAGGGCTTGGCATGCTGCGGACAGTTCTGATTGGTTAGCCTAAGAGGGGAGAGGATTACCCATGCTTAGACGGCTTGGGTCTTATGTGAGGAGCTTGCTGTGACATCCCTGCCAAGGAAGCAGGCTCAGAAGTTTAGTGACTGGCAGACCTGAGGTTCGTGCTCAGGCCTGGCTGACCAGCAGTGGGGTCACTGAAGGGTCTGAAGCAGGTGACAGTGTGCCTGAGGAGGTTTCTGTAGCTGCAGACATTCACTTTTACTTTCTACAAGTTTAATCTGCGGCTACTGTGAGCCAGGCCCATGCCAGGTGCAAGGACACAGCAACACGCCAGGTCAGCATGTAGCTCCCAGTCCAGGGTAAGGCAGCAGGTTCCATAGAATTGTGCAGGGAGAGCACGCAAAGGCTTCGCTGGGGAACTGACCTTTCAGAGGAGTTTGAGATGACCAAGAGGGAGCTAGCCAAGTGCAGAGGAGGTGAGGGAAGAATGCTGCAGGTTAGGGAACAGCACGTGCTGAGAGACCTAGGTGAGTGTGAGGGATGAACAGCAGGCCAGGGAGACAGCTCAGAGAGCTGGGTGTTAGATACAGGTGGCTGAGCAGTGGTGAATCGGATGTTTGGGGCTTGGTGCCTTTATCTTAAGAGGACTAGAAAGCCAAAGAGGAACTTCTTTTTTCTTATCTCTCTCTTTCTCTCTTTTTAAAATTTATTTATTTATTTGACAGGTAGAGTTATAGATAGTAAGAGAGATAAAAAGGTCTTCCTTCCATTGGTTCACTCCCCAAATGGCCGCTATGGCAGGCGCTACGCCGATCCAAAGCCAGGAGCCAGATGCTTCTTCCTGGTGTCCCATACGGGTGCAGGGGCCCAAGTACTTGGGCCATCCTCCACTGCCCTCCCAGGCCACAGCAGAGAGCTGGATTGGAAGAGGAGCAACTGGGACTAGAACCCGGCACCCATATGGGGTGCTGGTGCCACAGGCTGAAGAACCAAGTGAGCCGTGGCGCCGGCCCTCTCTCTTTTTTAAAAGATTTATTTATTCATCTGAAAGTCAGTGTTAGAGGGCCAGCACTATGGTATAGTAGGTAAAGCTGCTGCCTTCAGTCCTGACATCTCATATGGGCACCGATCCAGATCCTGGCTGCTCCATTTCCAATCCAGCTCTCTGCTATGGCCTGGGAAAGCAGTGGAAGATGGCCAAGGGCTTGGGCCTCTGCACCTGCCTGGGAGACCCAGAAGAAGCACTTGGCTCCTGGCTGCAGCTCAGCCCATCTCCGGCTATTGCAGCCACTGAGGAGTGAACCAGCAGATGGAAGACTTCTCTCTCTCTCTGCCTTTGCCTCTCTGTAATTCTGCCTTTCAAATAAATAAATCTTTAAAAACAAACAAACAAACAAAAAAAAACACCAGAGAGTTACGGATAGAGAGTGAGAGGTCCTCCATCCGTTGGTTCACTCCCCAGATGGCCACAATGTCTAGGGCTGAGCCAGGCTGAAGCCAGAAGCCAGGAGTTTCATCTGTATCTCCCATGTGGGTGGCAGGAATCCAAACACTTGGGTCACCTTCCGTCTTTTACCAGGTCATCAGCATGAAGCTGGATCGGGAGTGTGGCAACCAGAACGTGAACCAGCGCCTTTAGGGGATGCCGGTGTTGCAGGTGGTGGCTTTACCTGCTATGCCACAGTGCCAGCCCCCTTTTTCTTTTTTTTTGAAATAGTTGTAGATTTACAGGAAGCTGGCGAAAGAGTACAGAGGGATCCTGCGTATCCTCCTCCCAGTGGTTATATCTTAGGAGGTTATATGTAACACAGTAACAAAACCAAGACAGTGACATTGGTATAATGAATCAGGTTCTGGGTGTAGATCCATGTAACCGTCTCCGCAGTCAAGTCACAGAAGCATCCTGTCAGCATGGAGACCTCTTGTGCTTCTTCTTTACAGTCGCAGCCAACCTTTCCTAGTCTGTTTTCCATCTCTGTAGTTTTGTGATTCCAAGGGCATTTTATAAGTGCATTCATACTGTGTGTCACCTTTGTAAGTGGTCTTTGCTCTCAGCACAGTTCTCTGGAGATGCATGGAGTTGTCCTTGATGGGTGGTATTCAGGAACTGCACAGGTCAGGAGTGTGTGGGTCACACACCCATGCGGCCCATGACCACAACCCAGAAACTTGTTGATTCATAAGTTTTGTTAATGTTCTTCAAGATTTATTTTTATTTATTTGAAAGAGTTACAGAGAGAGGTAGAGACAGAGAGAGGTCTTCCATCCGCTGGTTCACTCCCCAAATGGCTGCAATGGCTAGAGATGGGCCCATCCAAAGCCAGGAGCCAGGAGCTTCTTCTGGGTCTTCCACGTGAGTGGACTTGGGCCATCCTCTGCTGCTTCCCCAGGCCATAGCGGAGAGCTGGATCAGAAGTGGAGCATGTTGACGGCCCATGTGAGGGGAGGGTCATGCGTCTGGCTTAGAGACTGACAAACGGGGGACTCCCTGTATGGCACAGGGGTCCCCTCTTGCCTGCTGTTCTCAAGTCTACTTTATATTAACTCATAGAGCCTCTGAGTTGATCTTTTTTCTGTGTATTATATTTTAAATAAAAATAATTGATTGTACCTTCACAAGGTTCAGAAATGAAAAGGTACATAGAGATATTCTGCAGGATTCTCTTTTCCTGTTGTTGCCCACATCCAACTAGTTCCCATAGTTTCTGTCCTTATTTTACCTCCTTATGTGAAAGGTCCCCTAATAGACACTGTACTCTGTTGCTTTGTTATTTAATTATGTGTATTGAGTATCCTCCTTTGTAAGAAGAGAACATCCCCCATTCTTTTATTCTCTTTGAAACAGCTGCAGAGTATTGCCTTTTGTAGAGGTGCTGACATTCCAACTGCTCTGCTATTGATGGACTTGTGCTTGTCTTTGTGTTTGTAGTCTGACGAGGAAGGCAGCCAGGAGAAGGGAGGGGAGGACGGGCAGCAGAAGTTCATTGCTCACGTCCCAGTGCCGTCGCAACAGGAGGTAGGATGTTGGGTGCCCTTGGGGTGGGCCTCTCCACAGCAGGCTTTGCCGAACACTGCTGGGTTTTCCTGTGTCCTTGTGTCCATTAGGACAGCTCTGAGTACTGACCCCATGGCACTTGTGATTGTGTTCATGGTAATAAGGGTGGAGTCCAGATGGGCCGGAACCCCATACATGCATTCTGTTGTTCAGAGGTTCCCATGGGAGAGAGTGGGACTCCTGGAGGTCACTCTGGGTATTTAAATGAGACTCCATCAGGGACAGGCAGCCCCTGGGGGCCTCTGCCTGGGTTCTGGCTGGAGTTGGAGGACCTTGCCGACCTGTGAGTCCTGTGCTCTTGGTGTTTGCAGATTGAGGAGGCGCTCGTGCGAAGGAAGAAGATGGAGCTCCTGCAGAAGTACGCGAGTGAGACTCTGCAGGCACAGAGTGAAGAAGCCAAAAGGCTCCTGGGATATTAGGGCAAGCAGAGCTCTGTTTGCAGTTGAAAGATCTGGGAGTCCTGGCACCCCCACAGAGCTGCTGCCCACACGGCCACTGCAGAGGGCTGCAGGAAGCCACCATGCATTGATGCCTCCTGCTCCCTTCTCCCCCCTCATTCCTCTCTTACCTCTTCTTACCTGGCATGTTGCAATGGAGGTGGGGCTCTATGCCCTGCTTCCCTGGTGGCTGGCTAGGTGCTGAACACTTCAGCCCTCACCTTTGTACAAATATTTGCTACTGTATGCATCCATTGTTTATATCGTCAAGTGTGTCAAACAGGTTATTTTTCACCGTGTAGTGTGATGTGGGGAGCAGGATCAGTTTGTGGCCAGCATTAAAATATGTGATTTTCCTAAAAAGACATATCTTCTCTTGAGGAAGAAAACAGTGTCAGCCCTGTACCTGCATCCAATGGGCCGAAAGCAAGAGCCACCCCTTGGGCCAGGCTCTGCTCCCAGCGCTCCATGTGTGCGCTCTGCCTGCTGCCCCCTCCTACCTGCAGGGGGGCAGGAGTTTGAGTTTGCTACCTTTGTTTTATAACCTATTCTGCACAGAGCTATTTTTATTAAAGACTTTTGTAAGAAAGGAAAGCCTCCATGCCTGCAGCTTGTGCCCTCGGCTGTAACGTGGGGGAGGGGGCTGGTTGTTGAGGTCATTGAAGGGCACTGGAGTGTGTCCAGGACAGTACTGGATCCCAGGCTGCATCTGGAAGCTGAGGTGGACCAGAGCATCCCACTGTGGGCTTTGTGGTCACAGCCGTAGACAAGGGCATTTAGTAGCTGGTATAAAAGCATAGTGACACGTGAGTTGAGTCCAAAGTCTCACTCTGATCTAGGTTTTCCTACTAGGGATCGGCAGAGGCACAGCCCCAATCAACAGTGGGGTCTGGCCTGCCTGCTCTGCAGTCATGCTGGTGTCTGGGAGCTCTGTGCAGGGCCACATTGCTGTCCTTTGGGCCTGGGGCTCCAGCTCAGCCTTTTTGGGACTGGGAGTTCCTGGCTTCCAGAACTCATGTGGCTAGTGGTTGGGCTCTTTCGGGGTCTCTAGGACCTGTGACTGTGAGAAGCATATTCGGGGATAGCAGGGCCACAAGAGGCTGATGGTGCTGGTGCATGTCGGGTAAGCAGGCCCGGTAGCTAGAGGTACTAGAGGCTTGAGGGCTGTGGGGAGCCTGGAGGGTTCTGAGAGGACAGACCCCAATCAGTGGCGGACCAATTTTTCAAAGCTCCCTGTGACCACATGGTGGAAAATGAAGCAGGGCTGGGACAGAGCCCCAGGCAGCAGGTGGTGGGCTAGGTAGGGGTGGGATTGGCCACAGGGAAGATAACGTCAAGGCCAGAACCCTCTACATTCTGGGTTTCCTGGGGGAAGAACTGGCAGGGTACCCCTTCAGCTGAGCCCCAAGGTAAATGTGTACAGGGAGGAAGGGGTAGGGACCCAGGCAGGGGCTTAGGTGGCCGCCAGGAGCCAGGCAGGGCAGAGTCGGCCCTGGGACACAGCACCCAGCCCAGGACAGGCTCAGGTTGGGGCTCGGCAGTGAACACGGGGTCTTGGGACGAGTCCCTTCTGGACCCCAGCCTCAGCTTCCTTGCTTTAAAGGAGAGGACTGGAGCTGGTGCCCTCTGGGTTTGCCCTGGAGTCTTGGTAGTCCTGTGGTCTGGGCAGAGGCAGTGGGGACTGGCCCGGCTGGAGCCTGCCATGGGGTTCAGGTGGCTGAGTGAGGCTTCCTTCTAGGGGTGTGCATTGGCGCCTCCCTGGGCTGGGAGAACAGCAGGAAGTGCAGCCATGAGGGTCCCTGCTCCCTGGGAAGATGGTTGGGGCCTGGCGCTGAGGGGTCCAGCCCATCACTGTGCTAAGCCTCCACCCCCAGGGTCTCCACAGGGCTCTTGGTGGAAGAGGGACTGCAGTGCAGTTAGGACGCCACATTTGAGTATACAGAATCAGAACAGAGCAGCGCTAGGCCGGCAGTCCTATAGCTGTACCTGGCAGGGGCCCCAGCAGGGCCTGGTGCTGAGGGCAGGTCTCAGGAGGGCTCCTGACCCGCCAGGCCTGGAGACAGCAAGGAAGCCTGTGGGCGGATGTGAGCACTCATGAGATGTGAGTGTGGTCATGGCCCAGTTCATTGCTCAGGGGTGACAGAACCAATCTCAGTAGCCTTTGGTTAAGAAAATCTGTTTAATGGTTACACTAGCTTTGGCTCTGCCTGCAGTTTCTAAAAGAAGCATTTTCCATAGACAAGTTTCCAACCACTTCTCTCTTCCCTACCCCACCCGGCCTCCTGTGACCTTGAAACACAGCTGCCTCCTGTTTTGCCTTGAGACCAACCCCACCAGCCCCACCCAGGCTTCTGTCTGCCCTCTCCTGGCCTCTCCTCCCCTTGCATCCCAGCCCATCTCACGTGTTGCTGCTCTTAGGCAATGTATACAGCAGGAAGAGGTGCCACGTTCCTCCTCTTGCCCCTGCCATGCCCACCCTGCTTTCTGGACCCATGCTTACAGCTCTGTTCTAGAGAACAGGGCAATGGCATGTCGCAGCCTCTGGCACCCTGGAGAGGACGTGGGGGTTGGGGAGTTTCCACCTGCTCACTCAGACCCTCCTGAAGGGACTTCAGACCTGACCCACCCTCAGACCCCTTGACCAACAAGCAAGCAGGTCTTCCATGTCTGTCCCCTTGTGCTCCACTGCCACGCAGGCATAGGGACAGGTCTTTTTGTTTGTTTTCTTTTTTTTGACAGAGTTAGAGACAGAAACAGAGAGAAAGGTCTTCCTTCCGTTGGTTCACCCCCCAAATGGCCGCTATGGCCGGCGCGCTGCACCAATCCAAAGCCAGGAGCCAGGTGCGTCCTCCTGGTCTCCCATGCGGGTACAGGGCCCAAGCACTTGGGCCATCCTCCACTGCCTTCCCAGGCCACAGCAGAGAGCTGGACTGGAAGAGGAGCAACCGGGACAGAATCTAGCGCCCCGACTGGGACTAGAACCTGGGGTACTGGCGCCGCAGGCAGAGGATTAGCCTAGTGAGCCGCGGCGCCGGCCAAGGGACAGTTCTAAGGACAGCACTGGGCTGTGCTCAGTTACTGTACCAGTTACTTCTCTGCCCACTGCAGGACCTTAAGCAAGTCTGTGTAGATTCTGAGCTGGGGTTTTCTCTTCAATCTGCATGCTAGGGAGGGCAGAGCTGTCCACAGACCCCTGTGGCTGGGCCGTGGTAGGGATTCTGGGAAAGATTGACATGTTGTGGGGCAGGTCCAGGAAATCAAGTGATGGGAGCAGATGATGTTAGCGAGGAGGGTCAGGCTTTGAACATGGGATTCCTGAGGTCTGGGGCTGTCACTGAAGTTTGAGATCACTTCTAGCAGGCAGACTTGGTTAGAGTAAGGAACCTGTGGGATGAACTAGATACTGTGACCAGGAGGAAGCTGGGCCTAATCTTGGAGTAGCAGTGGAGGCTGGGAGGGCACGGTAGCATTGCCAGAGGTTGCAGTAGGGGCGTGGAAAGACAAGTGACCCCCATTTTTGAGTCAAAGCCTACAGTATGAGACTGGCAGCATTAACAGACACGTCAAGGGTGGAGGGTTCATTTGGCCCCTGTGTAGGATGTTTTAGGATTCTGAGAGGGGGACAGTGAGGGAGCCTTCGCGCCCCTCAGCCGGCACCAGCCCAGAGCACCTACGTCTACAGCTGCTGCAGCAAAATCTCACCTTTCTCCCGCTTTTCATTTCCTGCCGTTTTGCAGCAAACACATTTAGCCAGACAGTCTTTGTGGTGTTTTTCACTTGTATTTCTGATTGGGGATGCATTTTTAGCACTAGCTGTGCCACCATCAGGTGAAGAAAATTGGGATGAGATTGTTGTATGCTATATTTGAACACTTGTGACTGTAGCAGATATACATACATACATATGTACATAAATCAATAAATCAGTAAATAAAAGGGGGGCAGGAAAAGGGATAAGCTGCACAATTATTCCTCTCACTACTTGGAGGAATTCTGAACACTGATTCCCAGATACCTGTAGGTTTATCATCCATGGTGCCACCGTGTGGCGGTGACTCAGACATTTAAAATTCATTCAGCCTACCCTTCACCCACTTTAAGGATGTTAAGATTCTTGACCCAGTTTTAAAAATTTGTGTTCTGGGGGCCGGTGCTGTGGCGTTGGTGGGTAAAGCCGCCACCTGCAGTGCCAGCATCCCATATGGACACTGGTTCGAGTCCTGGCTGCTCCACTTCCAGTCCATCTCTCTGCTATGGCCTGGGAAAGCAGTAGAAGTAAGTCCTTGGACCCCTGCACCCACGTGGGAGACCCGGAAGAAGCTCCTGGCTCCTGACTTCGGATCAGCTTAGCTGCAGCTGTTGGTGCCAACTGGGGAGTGAACCAGTGGATGGAAGACCTCTTTCTCTCTGCCTTTCCTCTCTGTGTAACTCTGACCTTCAAATAAATAAATCTTAAAAAAAAAAAAATTGTGTTCTGTATTATTTTCACATTTTGGGTACTACATGTGATAACATAAACCTTTTAAAATTTGACTTGTTTTCATATATTTGAAAGGCAGACACAGGTCTTTCCACCTGCTGTTTCACTCCCCAGATGCCTTCAGCAGCCGAGGCTGGGCTAGGCTAAAGTCAAGAGCCAGGAACTCATTCCAGGGCTCCTATGTGTTATGGAGTAACCCAGCTACCTGAGCCATACCTGTTTCCTCCCAGCCTCTTTATTGGAAGAAACTGGGAGCTACAGTCAGGACTCAAATAAAGGCACTCTGATATGGGACAGAGGTATCCTAACCATTAGGCCAAAAGCTGCCCCCGGCAGATAGATTTTAACAGCTTTATTGAAATGTAACTTAAAGTCCACCTTCTGTAAGCACACATTTGGATGATTTTAATGAAGTTTTTGAATGGCACAGTTCAGCTGTAGAATATGTCTGTCACTCCACAGATGCAAGTGGTAGTAAGGTCTTCAGACAAAACCCACACTCCGCCCAACTGGTACCCTACCCAACCCACTGCAAACCCATCTCAGGCCAAGGCACCAGCCGCTATCCTCCCCCTCACCCCTACCCTGCCCTCCACCACCAGTTGATCCAGTTTAAACTTCACACAAATGTTAGGTCTCACTCCTCTGAGGTTCCCTGGGCTGCATGGTCTTCCTCCCCAACTCCGTGCTCCATCCTGGCTCCTGGTCTCCCGCTCCACCTTGTGCTGTGGGGCCCTGTGAGCTGGAGGCAGTTGGCATGGTTTTCTGGGGTTCTGCATGTTGACACACTCTGCCTCCCACAGCCAACCCTTCTGTTTCATCCTCTTCAGTCTCCTACCTTGGAATGGCAGCTATTTCCTGCCACTTGACTTCTCCGCTCCCTACAAAGCAGAGAGCTCAGAATTGCTTTTCAATGGCACTTGGGGGTTTCCTGTCTGAGACAGTTGGGTATTTCCCATGGGGGTGGAGTTCAAAATGTTTCAACACAAACAACTCTTCTGCCTTTGCCTCTTTGTCCAATTTCTTCTCCACTTGGCCAGTAAGACTGCTCAGGGTCCTCAGGAGTAAGGTGCAGGTGGTCTTGCTCCTCATGGTCTCTCGAAGCTTCTGGAAGGCCTTCCCTTTTCTACGAGAGAAGGTTTGGAGTGTTGTCTGCTTTGTTCACTGGTGCACTAAAAGGCTCTAGCACAATGGCCCACAACAGGCATTAATCAAATTTATGGAGTTGGAGTGCTGTTAGGGGAGGTATCTGGGGCCTGTGTTGCGGCAAAGGTTAAGATGCCACTTTGATGCTGGTATACCATATGGGCTACTCTCCTTTAAATCCAGTTCCCAGTGCCTGGGAAAGCAGGGGAAGATGGCACAAGTACTTGGGTCCCTGCCATCCACGTAGGAGACCCAGATGAAATTCCAGGCTCCTGGCTTTGGCCTGCCCCAGCCCCGGATATTGGGGCCATTTGAGGAGTGAACCAGTGAGTAGAAATCTTTCCGTCTTTACCCTTCTCTCTGAAACTCTGCCTTTCAAATATATATATACATATATATATATATATATTTTATTTTAAGAGACGCTGTCTGAAGCGGGCATGTTCTCAATCCTCTCCCTTCCTGAGGGTTGGGAAGCCCTTAAACTTCATGCAGATGCTTGGGCCTCATTTCTCTGAGGTGCCTGGGTTCGCTGGGCCTGCTCAGGAGCTGGTCTGCCCTTCCACCGAGCCCCCAGGAGTCTCCCTGGCCCTCGTCTCAGGCTGAGGTGCATTTTGGATGGGTCATTTCCGTCAGCTGGACCCATAATCTCGACTGAGCCACGAGGGCAGCTGCTGCAACCACAGCCAGGCTGCCTTTGTGACGGGATCTCCCCAGCCCTCCTCCTGGCCTAGCCTTCCGCCAAACAGGACGCGGGGTCGCTCTCCTCACAAAGATTTTGGCCTCATCTTCAGTTCTGTGGTAGTTGAATTTGTGGCCCACGGAGGACTTCTTTCTTCCTCGTCGTGTGCCGCCAGTGCCACGTTCCCGTGTGGGACGCTGAGCTGCCTGCCTGCCAGTGTGAGGGCTGAGGTGACACTGTCCTTGGTTGCCACTGTCCTCCAAGATCCAATCTGGAAGAGGCCATTCCGAGTCCAAGGGCTGTGGCCCTGCAGGCCCAGAGGCCCCACCCTTGCCTTGAGCTTAGCCCTGGTTCTGGATCTGGGAGGTCAGCAGGTGGGAGCGCCCAGGCAGGCTGATCCCGCCTGGGGGAGGCAGGCCAGGACCCCAGGTCAAGGCTGCTGGGGAGGACGCTGGTTTGAGGGCGGGGCCAATTGGCGATGGGGCGTGGCGTGGCGTTGGGGGGCGGAGCTGAGGAAAGGAGCGTGGAAGGGGCGGGGCCCAGAGCATCCCTGAGGGCACAGTTGGGCTGGGGGCGGGCCGAGAGCTGTGACGGGGCGGAGTCTTCCTGGGGGAGGGCCCAAGAGGGGCTGCGCGGAGGAGTGGTTGGACTTCCGGGACGGCGCTGCCGGGGGCGGGATGGGGTGGGGGCGGAGTCGGGATGCTGAGGGCGGGCTCGGGGGCCGTTTTGGGGGCGGGGTCTGGGCGGAATCGGGCTGAGGAGACCCGGGAGGCAGCGCCGGGGGGCGGGCCGAGGGCGGCTCCGGGGCGGGCCTGAGGGCTTGACTGGCCTGGCGCGGAGCTGAGGGCCGAGCCGGAACGCCGCTGAGGGCCGGGCCACGGCAGTCCGGGCGGAGCTGAGCCCGCGGGACTCCGGGTCGGGGCTCCGGGTCCGGGCGGGGCCGGGCCGGGACCGAGGCGGGGCCGAGGCCGGCGGTCGGCGGCGCCGCTGGTTCAGGTGTTGCGGCGGCTCCACGTCGCCAGGCGGCCCGCGGGCTGGAGCTGACGGAGCTCAGCCCGCGGCTTGCGTGAGCCAGGCCGGCCCCAGCGTCCGGAGCGCCGGCCCTTCGGCTCCCGTGAGGCCATGGCCGGTCCGGGCCCGGGTCCGGGGGACCCGGACGAGCAGTACGATTTCCTGTTTAAGCTGGTGCTGGTGGGCGACGCGAGCGTGGGCAAGACCTGCGTGGTGCAGCGCTTCAAGACGGGCGCCTTCTCGGAGCGCCAGGGCAGCACCATCGGCGTCGACTTCACCATGAAGACGCTGGAGATCCAGGGCAAGCGGGTCAAGGTGGGAGGCCGGCGCGGGGCCCCTGCAAGGTTCTCCCTCAGCGGGCGGGGCGGGGGCCGGTTGAGAGCCCCCCCCCCCCCCCAGCGGATTGGTCAGGGGTTTCCGGCAAATCCCAGAATTTTGCTTCCCCTCTCCCTTCTTCCTGCCGGAGCAGGCCTGGGCCTTGGGGTCTGGACCGGGTTCAAGTACGCGGAGCGCCGGCTTTGGGTTAGGGTGGGAGAGAGGGAGTGTGGAGGAGGGGGCTCCGGCCTCCGGAGCTCACACCCTGGCCGGGGGAGGGAGGTTTGCTCTAAAATAACTTCTTTGGTAGAAGGCAACCTGTAAAACTGAGTTGTGCGGCTGGCCGGAGGGGGGCGCCCCAGAGTGCGGGGGACGCTCCTTGGGCTCCTCGGCCAGAAAGCGACGCCCCCAAGGCTGGTGGGATCGGGAAGTAGTCGCTTCTAGGACCGGAGGGCCAAAAGTTTTTGTCAGAATTTCCGGCCTGGCCACGCCTCCAGCAGTCTCTTTGTGGACCTGGTGGTGGAACTTTACTCGACCGGGGCCAGCACTGGGTCCCTTCCCCCAGCTGGAGTTTGATAGAAACCGAAAACTTCACAGACACCGGAAGATGGGGGAGAGGACCAAGCTTTGGCAACGGCTCCGAATAGAAACAGCAGGATGTGGTTGCCACAATGTCCTGGCGCTGGCTTGATAAATAATGTTTGTGATGAATGAAATCAGAGTTTCTTAACCTGGGTGGCAGCCCTCGGTAACCGACTAGGAGACCTGGACTGGAGAGAGCATGGTTCTCACCCCCAGAAGTTGACTTTACTGCAGGATTCTGTACGTTCCTCCATGGTTTTGAATTTACCTGATCTTCAGAACTCCGGGCCTGGGGCTGGAGCAGCAGGGCTGTCTCTGTGTTTTCAAGAAGTTGAGCCAGGAAGATGGGAGTCCCTCGAGCCTGGCTCCTGCCATGGTGCTCTGCCTCTCTGGGTGGCTGTAGGCTTGCTCACTGTTGCCTTTGGCCAGGTTACTTAGCTCTGTCTTTGTTGCTATAAATTGGGATAATTTCTGGGTGTTGCCTCCCTCTTGCCCCTCTGTGGAGACAAACTCAGCTAACAGACATTATGACCAGATGCCTGTAGACTAGATGTGACCAGGGAAACAGAAAATCCTGCCTAAAGGCTGTTTTTGTTTTGTTTTGTTTTAAAAAAATCTTCTGGGTTTCTGTGTGTTTTGGTCACTATGGGATGGAAAACAGCAAGGTGCAGGCAGGCAGCTTTGAGTCACTTGGGACCACCTTTTTTGGAGCAAGTGGAGGGGAAGGACTGGCATGGGTGGAGTGTGTCTATAGCTGAGTTTGTGCCCTGAGGTGACGCCAGCAGCTGCAAGGACAGTGGAGTGTGAAAACAGAGGCATGAAGGGCACTGGTGACCTCCCGGCAAGCTGAGGGCTTGTGTCTGAGTGTTGATGGTAGCCCTGTGCTGATGGTGGTCAGGGAGGGGTCAGTGTTCCTGTTTACCTGTCAAGATAACAACATGTGCCCCAGCAGAGCGGAGCCAGGGTGGACTGTGCACCCAAGCACAGGTTATGCAATGCAGAGCTGGGCAGTATGTGGTTTCTTTTCCTGTGATCACCTCCACATTGTCTTTCCTAGGTGGCCCTGGGTGCAGAAGAGCTATCTGGGTATGGTGACATCTCATAGCATAGCCACTACCTTTCTTGAGGGGCTTCTGTGAGCCACCTGTTTGACAGGTGTGCTCTCTGTTGACTGGAGGATATCATTACCTCCAGGGCACACAGCTGGGAAGTCCCAGGGCTAGGCACTCCCCTCCCCTCCCATTTTTTTCTGTCTGCGAAATATTGAGGATTTTCCCCTACAGGACTGCTGCTTAGGATCTGACTGAGTGGGAAAGCCTTTGGCAATGATTTACCTTTTCATTTTGCAGTCAGGAAAACCTGAAGCCCATCCCACTGTGGTGGCTAGGAATGAAAACTGAACAGGATGGAACTGAAAGGATATTGCCCTAAAAGTTAGGATTCCTGGGGTCTGCTGACTCTGCGGGAAGCAGTCATCTTTCCCCTCTCCCAGTCTGTTTCCTCATCTGCAAAATGATTCTGAGACATCTTCCAGCCATGTGATTTTTTTTTAAGTAGGGCTTAGTGAGGCTTAATTTACACACAGTAAACTTTACCCATTTTACTTGTTGAGATCTGTGATTTTTGACAGATGTACACAGACATGTAACCACCATCCCACTCAAGATAGAGAATATTCCTATCAACCCCGAAAGCTCCTTGTTTCCTCTATAGTCACTTCCCTCCTTTCACCACGTCCCCTGGCAGCCGCTGGTCTGTTTTCCGTCCCTTCGCCTCAGCAGTGTGATTTTTAACTGGAACCTTGATGAAGCACAGGTTACTGTTGTTCCTGCAGAAAGTAAGTGCGCATCAAGGATTTAGTTAAAAAACTGTTCTGGGTCCAAGAAGCATCCACTCTCTTCTCTCTGAACCGTCCTGGGTTTTGGTAGAATTTGAAGAGTCTTAGGGATAGAGCACTTGGTGTGATCAAAGCTTTCTATCAGGGCAGAGGTTCAGAAGGGCTTTACCGTCTAGCTTCCCAACCAACCGGAGCAGTAGTATTGTATCTTGTTGTGTAGTGAAGCTCCATTATTTGATTAAAGAGTTCTGCTGCCCCAAAATAAAGCATTTGAAAAATCACAGATCCAATTAAATTCCTTTATTGCTATAGTCACTTCCCATCACAACCAGGGTAAGACACAAACTCCTTACTCAGAGAGATGGACCCTGCCTGCCTTTCCAACTTCATCGCCCTCTACTCTGTCCCTCCCACCTGACTCTCCAGCCTCATTAGCCTTTTGTCCTTTAACCATGGCAGCTGTATTTCTGCTTCAAGGCCTTTTTTTTTTTTTTTAATTATTTGAAAGGTAGACAGAAAAATCTGTCATCTTCTGTTTTTTTCTTAAAGTGCCTGCAACAGTCAGGGCTGGGCCAGGCTGAAGTCATGAGCCTAGAACTCAGTCTCATCTCCCATGTGGATGGAGGGACCCAAATAATTGCCTCCCAGGGTGCACATTAGCATGAAGCTGGAATGGATAGCAGAGTTGGCACTCTGATATGGGATGCGGTCATTCCAAGCCGTGTCTTAGCGGCACCACTGCCTGGCTCATGCCTCGGGACTTTTGGAGCTGCTCCTCTGCCTGTCATACTTTACACCTAGATCCCTGTATAACCACTAGCTCGTCACTCAGCTTCCAGTGTGAAGGCCGCCTCTCAGGGAGGCCTTCCTTGACTTCACACATCCTCTATTCCATCACTCTGTCCTGTCTGGTCATGGCGTTCAGTGAGAATTGAAATTACCTGGTTTGCTTATCTCCCCCTGTAGAAGGTAAGTTCCTTGAAGTTGCAAGGATCCCTTTGGCAAGTATCAAACGGTGTTCAGTACATGCTTGTTCGTCGGTTCTTATTTGTAGAAGGGAAGCTGAGGACAGGGTACGTGAAGTGACTGGCTTACTCAGGATCACTTCAAAGTCTCTGACAAAACCAGGATTTGAATCCAGGGTTTGGCTGGCTTCTAAGCCTAGTGTTCATTTTTATGCCTGAGATACCTTTTGATGTTCCTCTAAATTAATAAACCCCGAGATTCTGAGGGTTAATGAATCCGGTAAAAATATGGTTGGATCATTGCATTCACTGAGCAAAGAATGTGGACTTGGGCATTATTTTATAAAGATTTATAGAAATGTGGAGAGTTTCAAGGACTTTATCAGTTAATCAGAACACTTATTTTTTAAAGATTTATTTTATCTACTTGACAGTGTTACAGAAAGAGTGAGAAGAGAAAGGAGAGAGAGGGAGAGAAAGAGAGAATCTTCCATCCTTTGGTTCACTCCTCAAATGGCCACAACCACTGAGGCTGGGCCAGGCTGAAGCCAGGAGCTTGGAACTCCATACAGGTCTCCCATTAGGGTGGCAGGGGACTAAGTATTTGTGTCATCCTCTACTGCTTTCCCAGGCACATTAGCAGGGAGCTGGATTGGAAGTGGAGTAGCCAGGACTTGAACCAGTACCCCTATGGGATGCTGGTGTTGCAGGCAGTGGCTGAACCTGCTGTGCCACAATGCTGGTCCTTATTAGAACATTTAGATAGCCTTAAACAGCTCATATATGTGGCTGTATCAGTTGTAAAGCTTTGTATTGGTGTGTGGTTGTTATTTCCTTTGCCTTTAGATTCATTTGGCTGTGGCTCTGAGCCACTGGGAAAATGAACTTGAATGCTGCTGGTCTTGTAGACTGTGGGGTTTCCAGAAAAGAGCACTAGATCAGGAGTCTGATCTACTTCCAACCCTGCCACAACCTTAGGCCTGTCATATTCCTTCTTGGAGCCTCAGTCTTCCTCATCCGTGAAATGGGACTAAAATCTTTGCTCTTCCTGCATGGTAGGGTTGTTGGACAACTATGGACATACCTAAAATAGTTTTAAATTTCCTTGACTGATTTTTTGAATAGATAAATCCATTCACTTGGTTCATATTCCAAAAATTCAAAGTCTTGTTAATAAGATGAAACAGGAAAGTCTTTCTTCTCTCTGCCTGCTGAGCCACCCAATACTCTCTGAGAAGAAGCAACCAGTGTTACCCTTTTCTTGTTTATCCTGACAGTGCTGTTGTAAATAAGACCAAGGATTTATAATACAGACAAATACAAGGCATTGTTTTATAGCTGCTGTTACCATTTGTCCTCCCTGGATGAGACAGATGATGTGTGAATTTGCTCCTCCCCTAGCCCTCATTCCTCC